TTCTGTAACAGATGAGATCTGGCGTGGGCTGGTCCATAAGGTCACGAAGATTCGGAAGTGACTGAATGAATAAACAGCAACAAACAGATGTTGTTTGTGACCTTGGTTAAACAGTTACCCTCATATGCTTCTGTAGGTCTTCTGAATGTGCACAGACGCCCTTATCATCGGCATATTGGAGTTCTATAACAGATGAGATCTGGCGTGGGCTGGTCCATGAGGTCACGAAGATTCGGAAGCGATTGAATGAATAAACAACAACAAACATATGTTGTTTGTGACCTTGGTTAAACAGTTACCCTCATATGCTTCTGTAGGTCTTCTGAATGTGCACAGACACCCTTATCATCGGCATATTGGCGTTCTATAACAGATGAGCTCTGGCATGAGCTGGCCCATGAGATCCAATGCCGGAAAGACAGCTTAATGGTGTAACATTAGAAAATGTGGACCATTTCCACTCCCTTGGCAGCCACCTCTCCACAAAAGTCAACATTGACACTGAAATACAACACCACCTGAGCTCTGCAAGTGCAGCATTTTCCCAAATGAAGCAGAGAGTGTTTGAGAATCAAGACATCCGTAGGAAGATCAAGGTGTTTGTTTATAAAGCAATTGTCCTCCAAGCCCTGCGATATTCCTGCAAAACGTGGACTGTCTACAGACATCACACTCAAAGCAAAAACCACCAGCATTGAAGCGATGGTCCTCTGCCACCAATTCCGCTGAACCGGTGATGTTGCTCAAACGCCCGATCACCATCTCCCAAAACTGAGACGGTGACAACTGGGAAGCCCTGGCCCTCGAGTTAGAGCGCTCAAGGGCCAGGCTTCCCAGTTCTTGGTGTCTATGCCACAGTTTTTAAAGTTGACTTTAAGCCCATCTTTAAATCTCTTTTCCTGCCCACCAACTTACGTTTCCCGTTCTTGAGCTGAAAGTATAGTAACTGCTTTGGGAGATGGTGATTGTGCATTTGAACATGGTCAGTCCAGCGGAGTTGGTGATGGTGGATCATCGCTCAGTGCTGGTGGTCTTGGCTTCTTCCACCATGCTGACATTTGTCCGCCTGTCTTCCTAAGAGATTTGCAGGATTTTTTGGAGGCAACACTGATAGAATCGTTACAGGAGTTGAGTGTGACATCTATAGACAGTCCACATTTTGCAGGCATATAGCAAGGTTGGGAGGACAATGGCTTTATAAACAAGCCCCTTGGTCTCCCTACGGATGTCCCAATCCTCAAACACTCTCTGCTTCATTCGGAAGAATGCTGCACTCACAGAGCTCAGCCGATGTTGTATTTCAGTGTCAATGTTGACTTTGTGGAGAGGTGGATGCCAAGGAATGGAAATGGTCAACATTTTCTAACGTTACACCATTAAGCTGTCTTTCTGGCATTGGAGAGGGATTGGCTGCATTCAGAAGAATGCTGCACTCGCAGAGCTCGGGCGGTGTTGTATTTCAGTGTCAATGTTGACTTTTGTGGAGAGGAGGCTGCCAAGGGAGCGGAAATGGACAACATTTTCTAACGTTACACCATTACGCTGTCTTTCTGGCATTGCTGGGAGATAAATTTGGTTTTCTTGATGTTCAGTGAGAGGCTGAGATGCTCGTATGCTTCTGCAAATGTGTTTAGAGTGGCTTGTAGGTCTTCTGAATGCACACAGACTTGAATTGGGCACAGAATTATTATTCCAGGTGAGCCCTGACCGAACCAGAAGAGAGTGGGACTATTAGTTATCAATCTAGTACACCAGGCTTGAGTAAACTTTGGGCCTCCGAATCTTTTGGACTCCAACTCCCACAATTCCTTACAGCCTCAGGCCCCTTCCTTTTCCTGCTCAGCCGCTAAAGCCTACGTACAGATGTCCCAATCCCCAAACACTCTCTGCTTCATTCAGAAGAATGCTGCACTCGCAGAGCTCAGGCGGTGCCAATCCCTCTCCAATGCCAGGAAGACAGCTTCATGGTGTAACGTTAGAAAATGTTGTCCATTTCCGCTCCCTTGGCAGCCTCTTCTCCACAAAATTCAACATTGACACTGAAATACAACATTGCCCGAGCTCTGCGAGTGCAGCATCTTCTGAACGCATCCAATCCCTCTCCAATGCCAGAAAGACAGCTTAGAAAATGTTGACCACTTCAGCTCCCTTGGCAGCCACTTCTCCACAAAAGTCAACATTGACACTGAAATACAACACCGCCTGAGCTCTGCGAGTGCAGCATTCTTCTGAATGCAGCCAATCCCTCTCCAATGCCAGAAAGACAGCTTAATGGTGTAACGTTAGAAAATGTTGGTCATTTCCGCTCCCTTGGCAGCATCCTCTCCACAAAAGTCAACATTGACACTGAAATACAACACTGCCTGAGCTCTGCGAGTGCAGCATTCTTCTGAATGAAGCAGAGAGTGTTTGAGGATTGGGACATCCGTAGGCTTTAGCGGCTGAGGGGGGAAAGGAAGGGGCCTGAGGCTCTTAGGAATGGTGGGAGTTGGAGTCCAAAACACTCCAACTCCTAAAGTTCGCTCAGGCCTGAACTCCTATTTGATGCAACCTTGATTCACATTGATGTGACAGGTGGATAAGAAGTGGAGGGTCATTCCGCAGAGAGGGGGAACCACCAGGAAAGTCACTTTGCCATGGATTGGCTCATAAACCCACCCACGGCTTCTCCTCCCAGGTAGGCAGCAAAAAAATAAATGAAGAAGTTGCCCTTTGTCCTTAACAGCCTGATCTTTACAGCTGTTTGCTAAGCTCCCCTTATCAGCAAACGCATACCTGCTGATTTCGATCGGTTAGCAGAGCAGCCAACCATAGCTTGGCATCTGCCCAGGTGGTTTTCAGCCTGGCTGCTCAATACTCTCTTATTAGAAAATGCCTCTGTTTCCTACTGCTGCCCCTCGCAAAACAGTGACGTCGCTTCCTTTTGCAATTTCGAGAAGGATCACAACAAATTGATATATTTGGGGGTAGTACAGCAGGTTAAACCACTGAGGTGCTGACCAAAAGGTTGGCGGTTCAAATTCGGGGAGTGGGGTGAGCTCCCGCTGTTAGCCCCAGCTTCTGCCAACCTAGCAGTTCAAAAACATGCAAATGTGAGTAGATCAATAGATACTACAGCAGCGGTTCTCAACTGGGTGGTTGTAGGTTTTTCCGGGCTATATGGCCATGTTCTAGAGGCATTTTCTCCTGACGTTTCGCCTGCATCTATGGCAGTGGTTCTCAACCTGGGGTCCCCAGATGTTTTTGGCCTACAATTCCCAGAAATCCTAACAGCTGGTAAACTGGCTGGGATTTCTGGGAGTTGTAGGCCAAAAACATCTGGGGACCCAAGGTTGAGAAGCACTGATCTACGGCAAGCATCCTCAGAGGTAGTGAGGTCTGTTGGAAGTAGGAAAATGGGTTTATATATCTGTGAAATGACCAGGGTGGGACAAAGGACTCTTGTCTGCTGGAGCTAGGTGTGAATGTTTCAACTGACCACCTTGATTAGCATTTAATGGCTTGGAAGTGCCTGGGGGGAATCTTTTGTTGAGAGTGATTCTCAACCTTCTTATTGCCACGACCCCTTAATAGAGTTCCTCCTGTTGTGGTGACCCCCCAACCATAAAATCATTTTTATTGCTACTTCATAACTGTCATTTTGTTACTGATATCAATTGTAATGTAAATATCTGATGTATTTTCATTTACTGGACCTAATTTGGCACAAATACTCAATACACCCAAGTTTGAATACTTGTGGGGTTTGGGAGCGGGATTGATTTTGTCATTGGGGAGTTGTAGTTGCTGGGATTTATAGTTCACCTACAATCAAAGAGTCTTCTGACCTCCACCAATGATGGAATTGAACCAAACTTGGCACACAGAACTCCCATGACCAACAGAAAACACTCTGGTGGGACCTTGAGCTTTGCAACCCCCTGAAAATGGCCCAACGACCCTCTTGGTGGTCGCGACCCCCAGGTTGAGAACCACTGAAGTAAAAACCAAGCTCTGCAGACAGATCACCCATGACCAACAGGAAATACTGGAAGGTTTTGGTGGGCATTGACCTTGAGTTTTGGAGTTGTAGTTCACCTACATCCAGGTAGGGCACTGTGGACTTAAACAATGATGGATCTGAACCAAACTTGGCATGGATACTCAATATGCCCAAATGTGAACAGTGGTGGAGTTTGGGGAAGATAGACATTGACACTTTTGAGTTGTAGTTACTGGGATGTATAGTTCACCTACAATCAAAGAGCATTCTGAACCCCACCAGTGACAGAACTGGGCCGAACTTCCCACACAGAAACCCCATGACCAACAGAAAATACTGTGTTTTCTGATGGTCTTTGGCGACCCCTCTGACACCCCCTTGCGACCCCTCATGGGGTCCCGACCCCCAGGTTGAGAAACACTGTACTAGAGTGATTTCAGATGTTGTATTTAATCTCCTTTTAATTTTCCTGGTCCTCTTCTTCCCAATGGCACAGTGGGCTAAACCACTGAGCTGCTAAACTTGCTGATCGCAGGTACGACTCCGGGGAGCAGCGTGAGCTCCCGCTGTCAGCCCCAGCTTTTGCAAATCTAACATGCAAAATGTGAGTAGATCTGCGGGAAGGTAATAGCGCTTCATGCAGTCATGCTGGCCACATGACCTAGGAGGTGTCTACGGACAATGCCGGCTTTTCAGCTTCGAAATGGAGATGAGCTCCAGCCCCGACTAGACTTAATGTCGGGGCAGGACTGCATGGAGCGCCATTACCTTCCCGCTTGAATGTGATCTACTTACATTTGCATGTTTTCAAACTGCTAGGTTGGCAGAAGCTGGAGCTAACAGAAGGAGCTCACCCCACTCCCCAGATTTGAACCGCCAAACTTTCGGTCAGCACGTTCAGCAGCTCGGCAGTTGAACCCACGAGCCTTGTGTGTCATTGGATTGACTTGTGTGACAGATGTTTGACGTGTTTCGGAAGATTGTCAACAAGCAAAGAAGTAAAAGACCATAACTCACCTTTAGAATGTCATTAAAAATATCCCTTTAATCTGTCCACTGAACCTCATTTCCAAAAATGGTTGCGCATGCTTAACATTTCTTTCTCTTCTATGGCACATCTCCCCACGTTTTCCAAAAAAAGGACTTCACCCTCCTGCTCGTCTAAAGATTGAAACCATCACCAAAAGTGCAGATCTTGAAAGGAAGCACACAGTGGGGCCAGCCGTGGTAAGGCACCGACCCCTGTTTTCATAGCACAGTGGGCCCGGAGTCCAGCTTAGGCCGATTGACCCAAACGCTTGCCATGGGCATCAGCTGCCTCCCCAAACACAGGAGGGAGCAGCTAGAGCTTGGAGTACGTAATCTGCTTGGGGGTCTTCTTCTCCATCGCAGCTTGGGCCGACTTCACAATGTCCTCCGTCTGCAACATGCTCATGTTCCAAGTGGCCTGAAGGACGGAAGAAGATAAGCGTTAGAGAGGAGATAGTTGGAAGGGACCATAAAGGCCATCCAGTCCAACCCCTTGCTGTGCAGGAAAAGCACAATCAAAGCCCCCCCCCGACAGATGTCTCCTGTGCTAATCTATAAAAATAAAAATGTAATGTTCGTTTGTGGGATTAACAGAACTCAAAAACCACTGGACGAATTGACACCAAATTTGGACACAAGACACCTAACAACCCAATTATGTCCTTCACTCAAAAAAATTGATTTTGTCATTTGGGAGTTGTAGTTGCTGGGATTTATAGTTCACCTACAATCAAAGAGCATTCTGAACCCCACCAACGATGGAATTGAACCAAACTTGGCACACAGTTCTCCCATGACCAACAGAAAATACTGGAAGGGTTTGGTGGGCAGTGTCCTTTGGTTTTGGAGTTGTAGTTCACCTACATCCAGAGATCACTGTGGACTCAAACAATGATGGATCTGGACCAAACTTGGCATGGATACTCAATATGCCCAAATGTGAACACTGGTGGAGTTTGGGGAAAATAGAATCTTGACATTTGGGAGTTGTAGTTGCTGGGATTAATAGTTCACCTACAGTCAAAGACCATTCTGAACCCCACCAACTATGGAATTGAACCAAACTTGGCACACAGTTCTCTCATGACCAACAGAAAATACTGGAAGGGTTTAGTGGGCAGTGTCCTTTGGGAGTTGTAGTTCACCTATATCCAAAGATGACCGTGGACTCAAACAATGATGGATCTGGACCAAACTCTACAAGAATACTCAATATGCCCAAATGTGAACACTGGTGGAGTTTGGGGAAAATCGAATCTTGACATTTGGGAGTTGTAGTTGCTGGGATTTATAGTTCACCTACAGTCTAAGAGCATTCTGAACCCCACCAACGATAGAATTGGGCCAAACCTCCCACACAAAACCCCCATGTAAGCCACAGCAATGCGTGGCAAGGGACAGCTAGTAATATAATGTAATATAATATAATATATTATATAATTATATTGCAGCACATTATAATATTATAAATATTATATATATGCAATATATTATATTATATTATATTACATATATATATATAATATTTATAATATTATAATGTGCTGCAATATAATACTAATAACAACATGATATTATAATTATATATTTATATTACATGTAATATTACTAATAATATTACAATATAATGGTATAGTACAAAATAGTAATATTTAATACTGATATTGTACTATGCTAATAATATAATATATTGTATGTATATATATCTTATAAGCCGCTCTGAGTCCCTTTTGGGGTGAGAAGGGTGGCATATAAATGTCGTAAATAAATAAATGGCCTTCAATGAATGAATAATAATCCCTGACCTGACCAAACCCTGCATAAAATGACCTCGGAAGCATTTTATCCTATTCCCTATTGTAATTAAACCCCATTTTTTGCGTTCCATCTGATCCTCCTTCCAGAAACATTATATTGCTTTCTCACCCAGTGTTAATCTTTGCAACCAGCCCTGGGAGGGGCGCAGAGCTGGGGACACGTGTTCAACTGCTATGATTCAATTATTGTGATTTTATATTGCCTTGTGTGCCTACCTGTATTGCTTTTTGTATTATTTTGCATTTTGCATTTTTATTTTGTATTTTGATGTTGTATATTTGCAACAACAACAACAACAACAACAACAACAAMATAATAATAATAATAATAATAATAATAATAATAATAATMATAATGGAAATGAAGSCAAGTTGCTTTGTTGGATAATAACAACAACAATAACAACAACAATGAGAACGACAACAACAACAAAATATTATAATAATGGAAATGAAGCCAAGTTTCCTTRTTGGATAAAAATAATGATGATGATGTTGATGATGATGATGATAATAATAATAATAATAAATTGAAATGAAGTCATGTTGTCTTGTTGGATGATGATGATGATGATGATGATGATGATGATACTAGCTGTCACCTGCCATACRTTGCTGTGGCCCAGTCTGTGTACATGTGTGTGTATGTGGCCCAGTCTGTGTATATGTGTTTTGTGTGTGCATGTGGCCCAGTCTGTGTATATGTGTTTTGTGTGTGTATGTGGCCCAGTCTGTGYATATGTGTTTTGTGTGTGTATGTGGTCCAGTCTGTGTATATGTGTTTTGTGTGTGTATGTGGCCCAGTCTGTGTATAAGTGCTTTGTGTGTGYATGTGGCCCAGTCTGTGTATATGTGTTTTGTGTGTGTATGTGGCCCAGTCTGTGTATATGTGCTTTGTGTGTGTGTGTGGCCCAGTCTGTGTGTATGTGCTTTGTGTGTGTGTGTGGCCCAGTCTGTGTATAAGTGCTTTGTGTGTGTATGTGGCCCAGTCTGTGTATATGTGCTTTGTATGTGTATATATGTATGTGTTATATTTGTGCATATGTGTATATATGTGGCTTTGTGCATGTGTTGTAATGTATTTTTTATTTTTTGGCTTTTTAAGTCTCTTCCGTTGTGTTTTTCGGTGTTTTTTATGAGTTATGGTCACTCGTTGCGTCTTGTGTCCAGATTTGGTGTCAATTCGCCCAGTGGTTTTTGAGTTATCTTAATCCCACAAACGAACATTACATTTTTATTTATATAGATGTGCAGGGAAAGAAGGACCTCTGGAAAAGAAAAAAGAGAAATATGGCTTCACCTCTGTGACATTTCCTATCAGCTGCATGACCTTTTGCTAAGTGCAAACCAGAATGCAGCAGCAAATTGGGGAATTTACTGCTCCAAAGGCAGGCCAAGCTTAGAATTTGCCAGCTCAGCAGAACAGATCCATTTCCACTTCGGAGAGCATATCTCGCAAACAGTTTTATCATCATAACTTTTCTTTTGGCATCAAAGTTTCAGCCCTAGCAGAGGATCGAGCAGCAAGGGACTTTGCCCTAGATGGGAAAGAGGAGCGAGGGAGAAACCGCAAGGAGCTGCTTCTATCCAGTTTGTCATCAACTAAATCCACTACCTTCGTTATGAGACGGAGATGCCGCCAAGCGTGGAGACCCCACTCACCATGTACTTTAGGCCTTCGGGCACCGAGTGGTCTCTGGAGTAGACAAGGTTGACCTTGGTGCCTTGCACGGCCACGGGGCTCTTGCTCGCAATCTCCACCGCCAAGTCGAAGGCGCTCTCCATCATGGCCTCCTTGTCTTGAAACACGCGGCTATGGAAAACCAGATTTGTAGGTTCAAAGCTAGCATTTTAGACATTGTGGATGACACTGTTGGGGCCTCAACCAAATTCATCACAAGTAATAATAATAATAATAATAATAATAATAATAATAATAGACTTTATTTGTACCCTGCCCCATCTCCTTGATGGGGACTCGGAGCGGCTTACATGGGGCCAAGCCTGAACAACAATTACAATAAAGAACGACCGAACGCAAACTGAAAACGCAAACATTAAACAACATCATAATTACAAAGGACATATGAATATACAACAATATAAAACTACAATAAGCACAAACGCAAAATAATACGAATATTGTGCTATGCTAATAATATAATATAGTGTATATACATATAATATTGATAATATCATAATGTAATACAATATAATTATACATTACATGTAATAATATTACTAATAATGTTGCAGTATGGTAGAATAGTACAATATTGTAATACATAATAATAATATTGTGCTATGCTAATAATATAATATATTGAATGTACATTTAACTTGTAAGCTGCTCTGAGTACTCTTTGGGGTGAAAAGAGTGGGATATCAATGTCATAAATCTATATAAATAAAAATGTAATGTTCGTTTGTGGGATTACCATAACTCAAAAACCACTGGACGAATTGACGCTAAATTTGGGCACAAAACACCTAACAGTCCAATGAGTGCCCATCACCCCTAAAAATACACACACACAAAACCCCAGCGGAGCAGGCTTAAAACCCCCAAAAATACACCATATATACATATACACATACACTCATTTACGACTATTATGCGACAAAATACGGTATTTTTGAACACAAAGATTCTAGTGGGGCCTTAAAGACTCAACAAAGCAATAGCATAAGGTCTGGTGGGTGAGTTTGGGGCAGTCAGATTTGGGAAGCAGCCCATTGAGGATATGACTCCACAATGACAAAGAGAAGTGTGTCTAAAGCAACTGATTCTATCTTGACTCACTCAGTATGATGCCAGATATTGTCGATTTGTCATTCTAATTTATACCCCCCCTCTTATAGTACTTTCAGTCAATACATTTGCCTTTTTTCCACTGCTGGCAGTCCCCACAAAGAGGAACAAGCACAAACTCCTTTTGTTGTCCAGGAGGAAGTACTGTTATCAGTTGGTGCAATTGAGAACAGGGAAGCAAAGCCTTGAGAAACAGACATACCTCACCAGACCGCTGCTCTCCGCCTCCGGAGCCATCATTTTCCGGGCAGTGAATGCCAGTTCATTCACCAGGCTGGGAAAAAGAGACAAAAAGTCAAGAGGCCTATGAGAGATTTTCATTAAAGGGGAAAGAAGGAAGTTTGCTAGAGAGACCTACCTGCAGGATGAAGTTTCCTATGAGAATTCATTCTCCTGGGTGTGTTCGACTACATGGTTGGGTTTTGTTGTGAAATGAAGCCATGGCTTTCTGTTTCTCCAGAGACTAGAAGATGAACCATGGATTCAAACGACAACAAAAAGATGTTTCCACTTCAGAAAGATCATTTTTACTGCAAAAGCTGTTTTGAGGACAGCAGTGCAAAGAGGCCACCAATTTGTGACTAAGCCACCAATTTGTAAAAAAATTGTAAAGGAGCCACCACTTTGTGAGGGCTTATTAAATTGATAGTGCAGCTAATAGCTTGTGATATTGATTTGGTCTTTCTTCAACATGTAGCGTGATTTAACTTGGAAATGATTTGTAACAGAGACTTGGCTTTAGAAGAAACTGTAACAAGTTTATTGAAATGTAGAAGAAGCTTGATGGTTTCAATGTTACTTAACTCTTAGATGCACATAACTTCAGAGGTTACATTTATAACATTTCATAAAACAACTTTTGAGAGGACTCTTCCTTCTACTAAACAGGTTTCAAACTTATTTTTCTTCAAACTGTGTTTCTTTCTTTAACAGATTATTTCAGATACAAGCTTATTCTTTCTTTGTGATATTTCTGTTGCAATAAAGATTCTTATTAGGGTTCATCTCACCCTTTCTACTCATACACTAACTACTAATATAAATAAGTCAATTCGATTTATCTAAACTACCCAGGCTAAAAGCCAAAACCTTCCTGATTCCCTGTAGTTTTTAAACTACAGACTACCTTCTTGGTTCTCACTACTACAGAACCAGTCACTCCTGCAGTTCACAGAGTTGAGCTGGCTACCATCCTCCCAGTTATGCTATTCTATATACTTACCCTTTTAAACATCTATCTATAATTATACATAACTGTAGATTAAAATTCACACTTCACCACAAGCGGGCTCTCCATCTTTTGGAGATTTTTAAACAGAAGTTGGATGGGCATTCCCCAAGGAATACATACATGTGCAAGGGGTTAGATTGGATAACCTTTGGGGCTGAAGATAAAACTGAACTGAGCACCGACCTGTGATTTCCAATGATACGAGGCAACCGTTGTAGGACACCCACGTCAGCTGCCATCCCGATGTCCACTTCCTGGGAGGTAGAAGGATGGACATACATCACATGATGGGGAAAAAAAGGACGGACACAATGGGTGAGGTGTCTATATAGGTGGGAGGACACAGACTGAAATAATCGTCTATCATATCAGGAAAAGCTTCCTCAAAATCACTCACTTTAACCTGGAACCAGGCATCCTGGGTACAGTAACGGATATCACAGGCAGAGATGAGATTCATGCCTACAGAGGGAAGGAAAATCCATTAATTTTTTAACATATTCTACAAGAAGCACTGCCTGAATATCAAGCAAAAAGTGGGTGCCAGAAACAATATCATACGAAAGATGACTGGCACAACCTGGGGATCACAACCAGACACAGTAAAGACATCGGCCCTTGTGCTATGCTACTCTGCTGCTGAATACACATGCCCAGAGTGGATTTCAGTTTCTGAATTTGCATAAAGCTTTAGATCAATGGTTCTCAACCTGGGGATTGCGACACCCAGGGGGGTTGCCTGGCCATTTTGGAGGGGTTGCGAGGCCACCTCCGTTGGCCTTGCCAGGCAAGATCTCCCTCGCACAAGGCTTGGCCCCACGCAAAGCCTGCCTCACCTGCCTCACTCTCCTGCCATTCGGCGAGGGGGCAAGGCAGGCGAGGGGTCCTCCACGTGGGCCTGGCCTGTGCAAAGCTCACCTCACCTGCCTTGCTTTCCCGCCATTCAGCGAGGGAGCGAGGCAGGCAAGGGGTCCTTCATGTGGGCCTTCCTGCACAAAGCCCGCCTCACTCTCCCGCCATTTGGTGAGGGGACAAGGCAGGCGAGACGTCCTCTGTGCGGGCCTGGCCCACACAAAGCCCACATTGCGTGCCTCGCTCTCCTGCCATTCGGCGAGGGGGGAGGCAGGCGAGGCGTCCTCTTTGCAGGTGTCAGAGTGGTCGCCAAAAACCATCAAAAAACAGTACTTTCTGTTGGTCATGGAGGTTGTGTGTGAGAAGTTTGGACTAATTCTATCGTTGCTGGGGTTCAGAATGCACTTTGATTGTAGGTGAACTGTAAATCCCAACAACGACAACTCCCAAATGTCAAGGTCTGTTTCCCCCAAACTCCATCTGTGTTCACATTTGGGCATATTGAGTATTTGTGTCAAGATTGGTCCAGATTCATCATTGTTTGAGTCCACAGTGCTCTCTGGATGTAAGTGAACTACAACTCCAAAACTCAAGGTCAATGCCCACCAAATCCTTCCAGTATTTTTTGTTGCTCATGGGAGTTCTGTGTGCCAAGTTTGGTTCAATTCCATCATTGGTGGAGTTCAGAATGCTCTTTGATTGTAGGTGAACTATAAATCCCAACAACTACAACTCCCAAATGAAAACAATTGCCCCAACCTCCCAGTATTCAAATTTGGGCGTATTGGGTATTTGTGCCAAATTTGGTGCAGTGATGAAAATGCATCTTGCAGATCAGATATTTACATTACATCATAACAGTAGCAAAATTATGAAGTAGCAACAAAAATAAATTGATGGTTGGGGGTCACCACAACATGAGGAACTGTAATAAGGGGGCGCGGCATTAGGAAGGTTGAGAACCACTGCTTTAGATCATCCATGTACAGCAAATGGGAAAATAATAATAATAATAATAATAATAATAATAATAGGACATGAGGAGGCATTTGCCACCCTCTCGACTCAACATAGGTGGGGCCTAAATAATGGTTCCCCATCCAAAGACTGACTGGCCATAAACTGCTTAGCCACACTAAGTCAGACTGGATCATTCGTGTGTTTCCAGGCTCCGAGAAGGCATTACACTTTAGTCATAGATAAGGAAAGGTGGGCGATGTATTGGAAATGTAGAGCCAAAGGCTTTTTTGCACAGCTTAAGCACAATGCTGCCCTCTGCAGTTGAAGAAGTCAAAAGAGCCAAGACTCAATTCCACAGAATACTGCTTGGTGTATGGCAATATCAAGGTCTTGTCGAAGGCTATCATGGCTGGAATCACTAGGTTGTTGTAGGTTTTTTGAGCTGTATGGCCATGTTCTAGAGGCATTCTCTCCTGATGTTTCACCTTCATCTATGGCAAGCATCCTCAGAGGTTGTGAGGTCTGTTGGAACTAGGAAAAGGGGTTTATATATCTGTGGAATGGCCAAGGTGGGACAAAGGACTCTTGTCTGCTGGAGCTAGGTGTGAATGTTTCAACTGACCCCCTTGATTAGCATTGCCTGGAGCAATCTTTTGATGAGAGGTGATTAGATGACCCTGATTGTTTTCCTTCTGCTGTTTTGCTGTTTTAATTTTAAGCAGTTCCTTGTCTGTGTTTGCGAGTTCTTTGCAGGTGGTGTGAATTCTCTCTCGTAAGAGGTTGCGTTCCAGGCGGTCATTCACACCTAGCTCCAGCAGACAAGAGTTTTTTGTCCCACCCTGGTCATTCCACAGATATATAAACCCATTTTCCTCATTCAAACACACCTCACTATCTCTGAGGATGCTTGCCATAGATGCAGGTGAAACATCAGGAGAGAATGCTTCTAGAACATGGCCATATAGCCCAAAAAACCTACAACAACCCAGTGATTCCGGCCATGAAAGCCTTCGACAATACATTGAACATCTCTACGGGGAGAAACTGTTCCAAGACACATGAAAATTGGGAAAACTAAGGACCAGGAAAGCACATCTATTGTGCTCCCTGACTTTCCTTCTACGCTGCAGAGGCACAGATACCATCCCACAATTTCTCGCAGCCAAAAGGAGTTTCGAAACACCACAGGTTCACCGGATCTATGACCGCCTGGAATGCAACCTCTTATGAGAGAGAATTCACACCATCCGCAAAGAACTCACAAACACAGACAAGGAACTGCTGCAACTCCATATCAACATCAGCCAGAATGATTAGTATGTATAATAAGGTGGTGGGAGTCATAACAGGACTCCCATGATCAACAGAAAACACTAGAAGGGTTTGGTGGGCATTGACCTTGAGTTTGAGAGTTGTAGTTCACCAACATCCACAGAGCACTGTGGACTCAAACAATGATGGATCTGGACCAAACTTGGCACAAATATTCCATATGCCCAAATATGAACACAGATGGAGTTTGGGGGGAACTAGACCTTGACATTTGGGAGTTGTAGTTACTGGGATTTATAGTTCATCTACAATCAAAGAGCATTCTGAACCCCACCAACGACAGAATTGGGGCAAACTTCCCACACAGAACCCCAATGACCAACAGAAAATACTTAAGGCCATCCAGTGCAACAAAGGGTTTTACTGTCCATCAAGTAGAAAAAACATGTGCATAAAAAACAGCTTTGGAAACCACTACCTTAATATATTCATATGCCAAATGTTCCTAATTTGCGAGGGAGAAACATGGGGAAAGGATATCACACCACTGAGTGACACTGGCATGGGGTGTTGTGGTTTCTGGGCTGCATGGCTGTGTTCTAGCATCATTTTCTCCTCCGAAGACGCCAGCCACAGATGCAGGCAAAATGTCAGGAGAAAATGCTGCCAGAACACAGTCATACAGCCTGGAAACCACACAGCCCTCCAGTGATTCTGGTTGTGAAAGGCTTCAACAATACATGAAACTGGCATGGCTCACCTCCTCCGATGCATCCCCCATGGACGGCAGCAATAACAGGTTTGGGGCACTAAAATAGAGAAGACGAGTGAGCCCCGGATGGAAACACTCCCCTAGGAAGAGATATCCTGAGCCATGCGGCCAATCCCTTCCCCACCTTCTCCAGCACCGTGAAGGTCTCCTGATAGTCCCGGATTATCTGGCGGATGTTCCAAGCCTTGCGAGCGGTGTCTTCCCCTCCCACCAACAAGAAAACGCTGCCCATCTCCATCAGGTCGATGCCTGCAGGGGATTATTAGAAAAAAGAGTGGCCAAACTGTGGCCAGTGGGATGTCAAGTATCCCAGTTGTGGGTTGGGGGTGTGTGTGCTTTCTAGGCCTCCCTGCTTTGCCTCACCTGATGTGAAGAGTTTCCCAGCCCCAGATATCACCACTGCATGGCATTCGGAGTCCTTAGAGATCTTGTTGAAACACTCCACCATCTCCCTATGGCAAAGGGGGACAATTAAAATAGGATGGTCCATTTGGGTTGGGAGAATATCTCTCACACATTTGCAGCCAGGGAAAGGAGGAAGTCACTTGGCTAAGAGTGAGAAAAATGATGATGATGATGATGATATTATTATTATTATTATTATTATTATTATTATTATTATTATTAATAATAATAATAATAATAATTTTTTATTATTATTTTATACATAACAAGATTAGTACACAGCAAACAAGATCACTCTGCTGGCTGTTGTATTTGATCACATGTCAGACACTTCCCAAGTGTCTAGGACTGTGTGATGTATGGGTGAATAATGTGTGCAGATCCCAGTAGGGTGTGTGTATGTATTTGTGTATTTGTGTGTTTATTTGTGTATATGCATATTGTGTATATGTGCGTATATATTTGTGTATATATGTGTGTTTGCTTATATAGATAGATAGATAGATAGATAGATAGATAGATAGATATATGGGTGTATATATGTGTGTGTGTATATTTGTGTATTTGTGTGTTTATATGTATACACGCATATTATGTATATGTGTGTGTGTATATATTTGTATATTTGTGTGTTATATGTGTACATACATGTTGTGTATATGTGTGTATATATTTGTGTACATATGTGTGTTTATATGTGTACATGCATAATGTGTATATGTGTGTATATATTTGTGTATATATGTGTGTGTGTGTGTATATTTGTGTATTTGTGTGTTTATATGTGTACATGCATATTGTGTATATGTGTGTGCTTGTCTATATGCATATTTGTGTGTATATATGTATGTATGTGGATATGTATGTGTGTGCATGTGTATATGTATATATGTATGCATATGTATGTGTGTATATGTATTTGTGTGTGTTTGTGCATATATATATACGTGTGTGTATAAATGTGTGCATGTGCATATGTATATGAGTGTATATGTGTATGTATATATGGTGTAATTTTGGGGTTTTAAGTCTGTTCCGCTGGGGTTTTGTATGTGTGTGTGTGTGTTTACGGGGGATGGACACTCGTTGGACTGTTAGGTGTGTTGTGTCCAAGTCTGGTGTTAATTCGTCCAGTGGTTTTTGAGTTATGTTAATCCCACAAATGAACATTACATTTTTATTTATATAAATTTCGCACTCTTTATTTTAATTTGTTTATTTTATATATTTTGTTGTGAAGTTTTTTTTTGTTGTATTGTGACTAATTATGTTGTATTATTTTTTGGGCTTGGCCTCATGTTAGCCACCCCAAGTCCCCTTTGGGGAGATGGTGGTGAGTTATAAATAAAGATTATTATTATTATTATTATTATTATTATTATTATTATTATTATTAGTATTATTATTTTGGAAGCTAAGCAAGCTCAGCCCTGGTTAGGACTTGAATGGGAGACTACCAACAAATCCCAAGTGCTGCAGACTTTATTTCAGAGGAAGGAACTGGCCAAACCACTTCTGAATATTCCTCTCCTAAGAAAACTATGGAATTCATGGCACCATCATAAGATGACAGGCAGCTTGAAGGCCCATGTACTCAAGGGGCTTGATGGCACGTTCTTCCCCAATGAAAACAACCATACTTTCCGTGCCTCGTAAATACTGTTTACTCCTGTTACTCTGTTTACTCTGAGGATGACCTGGGAAGAAATCCCACTGGAGCATTGCAACACACCCAAATACCTGGGAGTCACCCTGAACCGTGCTCTGACCTACAAGAAGCACTGCCTGAATATCAAGCAAAAAGTGGGCGCTAGAAACAATATCATACAAAAGCTGACTGGCACAACCTGGGGATCACAACCAGACACAGTGAAGACATCTGCCCTTGCGCTATGCTACTCTGCTGCTGAGTACGCATGCCCAGTGTGGAACACATCTCACCACACTAAAACAGTAGATGTGGCTCTTAATGAGACATGCCACATTATCACGGGGTGTCTGCGCCCTACACCACTGGAGAAATTACACTGTTCAGCTGGTATTGCACCACCTGACATCCGCCGGGAAGTAGCAGCCAATAGTCAAAGGGCCAAGGCAGAGACATCTCCAGCCCATCCCCTGTTTGGGTATCAGCCAGCATGTCAACGACTTAAATCAAGAAATAGTTTTCTAAGATCTACAGAGATACTCAGCAAGCGAGAGTCCAAAAGTGGCAGGCTCAAACCCAGAACCTCAATCAATGGCTGATACCAAATGAGAGACTACCTCCTGGGCACACAGAAGACTGGGCGACTTGGAAGGCACTGAACAGACTGCGCTCTGGCACCATGAGATGCAGAGCCAACCTTCAGAAATGGGGCTACAAAGTGGAATCCTCGACATGCGAGTGTGGAGAAGAGCAAACCACTGACCACCTGCTGCAATGCAACCTGAACACAATGGAGAACCTTCTTATAGTAACACCAGAGGCACTCCAAGTGGCCAGATACTGGTCAAAGGACATTTAATCAACTACCAAGCTTGCAAATTTTGTGGTTTTTTGTTTGTTTTGTTCTGTTAGAAATGTAATACAATGGTCTGGTTGCCCCTGACACGATAAATAAATACTCCTGTTACCTCCAGAAGGCAGCATTCATGGCATTCCTTTTCTCTGGCCGGTTGAGCTCGACGTGCAAGACCTTCTCCCGCACTCGCTCCAGCTTCAGGGTCTCATAGGTGTCCACAGCGCTACGCTTCTCCTGCTGTTGCTGCTGATGTTGCAATGGTGTCATCCTTAAGCCACGACAGGGAATAGCACGGACCAACAAACCTGGGAGGAAAGCATAGTGTTGGTAGCAATGAATGACTCACATATCTTGTTTGGGAGGTACTATAGCTTAAGGAAGGCCTGGGAAAACTTGGTCCTCCAGGTGTTTTGGACTTCAACTCCCACAATTCCTAACAGCCGGTCCAAGTTTAACCCAGGCCTGGCCTAATGCACAATTTCCTTGGCAAGATTTATTCAGAGGGGTTTTACCTTTGCCTTTCTCTGAGGCTGAGAGAGTGTGACTTAAGCGGTGAGTTTCAGGGCTGAGCAGGCCTACTCTTGGAAGTCCAATGCTCAAACCATTACACCACACTGCCTCTGCATCAGTGCAAATTTGGGGTAGGTAATACCTTGCTCTCCAGCAAAGGATCACCACCTTGTTGTGGCACTGGAGCTTGAGCACCTGAATGATGTCATGAGCGAAACCATGAAGGGCCACCCAAGACGGGACGGGACTTATATCCCCATACCAAAAAAGGGAAATGCGAAAGACTGCTTAAACTTCCATACAGTGGCCCTTATTTCTCATGCCAGTAAGGTAATGCTCAAGATCCTGCAAGGAAGACTCCAGCAATACATGGAGCGAGAGTTGCCAGATGTTCAAGCTGGGTTTAGAAAAGGCAGAGGAACGAGAGACCAGATTGCCAATATCCGCTGGATAATGGAGAAAGGCAGGGAGTTTCAGAAAAACATCTATTTCTGCTTCATTGACTATTCTAAAGCCTTTGACTGTGTGGATCATAATAAATTGTGGCAAGTTCTTGGTGGGATGGGCATCCCAAGCCACCTTGTCTCTCTCCTGAGGAATCTGCATAAGGACCAAGTAGCAACAGTAAGAACTGACCATGGAACAACAGACTGGTTCAAGATTGGGAAAGGCGTACAGCAAGGCTGCATACTCTCACCCAACCTTTTAAACTTGTATGCAGAACACATCATGCAATGTGCGGGGCTTGTGGAATGCAAAGCTGGGGTGAAAATTGCTGGAAGAAACATTAACAATCTCAGATATGCAGATGACACCACTCTGATGGCCGAAAGCGAGGAGGAGCTGAGGAGCCTTCTAATCAAGGTGAAAGAAGAAAGCACAAAAGCCGGGTTGCAGCTAAACATAAAAAAAACCAAGATTATGGCAACAAGAATGATTGACAACTGGAAAATACAGGGAGAAAATGTGGAGGCCGTGACAGACTTTGTATTTCTAGGTGCAAAGATTACTGCAGATGCAGACTGTGGCCAGGAAATCAGAAGACGCTTACTTCTTGGGAGGAGAGCAATGTCCAATCTCGATAAAATAGTAAAGAGTAGAGACATCAGACTGGCAACAAAGATCCGCATAGTCAAAGCCATGGTATTCCCTGTAGTCACCTACGGATGTGAGAGCTGGACCTTAGGGAAGGCTGAGCGAAGGAAGATCGATGCTTTTGAGCTGTGGTGTTGGAGGAAAGTTCTGAGAGTGCCTTGGACTGCGAGAAGATCCAACCAGTCCATCCTCCAGGAAATAAAGCCCGACTGCTCATTGGAGGGAAGGATACTAGAGACAAAGTTGAAGTACTTTGGCCACATCATGAGGAGACAGCAAAGCCTAGAGAATACAATTATGCTGGGGAAAGTGGAAGGCAAAAGGAAGAGGGGCCGACCAAGGGCAAGATGGATGGATGGCATCCTTGAAGTGACTGGACTGACCTTGAAGGAGCTGGGGGTGGTGACGGCCGACAGGGAGCTCTGGCGTGGGCTGGTCCATGAGGTCACGAAGAGTCGGAGAAGACTGAACGAATGAACAACAACAACAAAATACCTTGCTTCTGCTTTCTTCTTCGTCAGCTGAAGAGGTAAAGCCTCTCATGTGTTCACGTCAAGGTCCAGAGTGCAAAAGTCACTTCACCCCGGTGCAGAAATGCCCCAAAGCCTTATCAGTAAAAATAAAATCGTACAGAATAGTAAAACTAAATCGACAAGTTAATCATTATGATATTTCCGTATTATCAACCTCACACTAACCACAGGCCTGTCTCTGTAAATAATAATAAAAAAGACAAAGTAAGGATAGAAATGGGTTGTATGGTGAAGAATAAATAAAAATGCAAATGGGGTAATCCCCCCAAATGGCTTTGGGAGATTTCTGCACCGGGGTGAAGTGACTTTTGCACTCTGGACCTTGATGTCAACACATGAGAGGTTTTATCTTTTCAGCAGTAGGACTCTCTGCCTCAGAATCCGGTGGAATCCCCTTCCTTGGAGGCTTTTAAACTAATTACCTTCCAACAAAGGATTTCCCCCAGGCAGTAAGAAGACAGACCTTGTAAACTGCTAGGCCAGGGGTCCTCAAACTATGGCCCGGGGGCCGGATACGGCCCTCCAAGGTCATTTACTCGGCCCTCGCTCAGGGTCAACCTAAGTTTTTTTTTTTGTCGTGTCAGGAGCGACCTGAGAAACTGCAAGTCGCTTCTGGTGTGAGAGAATTGGCCGTCTGCAAGGACGTTGCCCAGGGGACACCCAGATGATTTGATGTTTTTATCATCCTTGTGGGAGGCTTCTCTCATGTCCCCACACGAGGAGCTGGAGCTGATAGAGGGAGCTCATCCATCTCTCCCCGGATTTGAACCTGCGACCTGTCGGTCTTTAGTCCTGCCGGCACAGGGGTTTAACCCATTGTGCCACCGGGGGCTCTGAAATGACTTGAAAGCACACAACAACAACAACAAATCCTATCTCATCAGCCAAAAGCAGGTCCACACTTCCCATTGAAATACACATAAGTTTATATTTGTTAAAATTGTTCTTCATTTTAATTATTGTATTGTTTTTATGTGTCTTTTGCACTACAAATAAGATATGTGCTGTGTGCACAGAATTCCTTCATGTTTTCAAATTATAATCCGGCCCTCCAACAGTTTGAGGGTCTGTGACCTGGCCCTCTGCTTAAAAAGTTTGAGGACCCCTGTGCTAGGCCATTAAATGCTAATCAAGGTGGACAATTGCTACATTCACATCTACCTCGAGCAGACAAGAGTTCTTTCTCCCACCCTGGACATTATTCCACAGACATATAAACCCAATTTTCCTAGTTTCCAACAGACCTCACAACCTCTGAGGATGTCTCCCATAGATGTGGGTGAAACATCAGGAGAGAATGCTTCTGGAACATACAGCCCAGAATACTCATGGCAACTCAAAGATATTGTGCTGCATCATCTTGCTTTTGATTTTATTGCTAGTTTTTGTTGGCATTTCAATTTTTTGTTTTAGCTGGGTTTGTTTTAGCTTTTTGGAGGCTGCCACGATTAGTGGATAATAATAATAATAATAATAATAATAATAATAATAATAATAATCTTTAGCACAGATATCAACATGGAGTTTGGTTTGGACAAATGTTCGACAGTGGCACTGAAGAAGGGAAAAATCATTGAAAGTGAGGGCATAAATATGCCCAATGGCCAAGCAATAAAGTGTCACCAGCCAGAGGCCTATAAATATCTGGGCATACTACAGCTGGACAACATCAAACATGAACATGTGAAAACTGTGGTCAGCAAAGAATACATTCAAAGGGTCAGAAAAATTCTCAAAAGCAAGCTCAATGGAGGCAATACCATCAAGGCCATAAACACCTGGGCCATACCTGTCATAAGATATACTGCTGGCATCATAAACTGGACGCAGGCAGAACTGGACAATTTGGACAGAAAAACAAGAAAACTCATGACCATTCATAATTCATTACATCCTCGCAGTGATGTTGACCTGCTCTATCTGCCTAGAAGGTCTGGTGGTAGAGGACTTTTACAAGTCAAACAAGCAGTTGAAGAAGAAAAACACGATGCCCTGGCAGAATATGTCAAGGAAAGCCAAGAACCTGCTTTAATTGAGGTCAATAATCGGAAACTTCTCAAAGCACAGCAGACAAAGAGTCAGTACAAGAAAACTGCACTCCAAACCAGAGCTGACAGCTGGCACAACAAAGCATTGCATGGGCAGTTCCTTGATAAGATTGAAGGAAAAGTTGACAAGAAGATGGCTCACGAATGGAACCCTGAAGAAGGAGACAGAAGAAGGCCTGTTCTTGCAGCCCAGGAGCAAGCCATCAGAACCAATGCAATTAAGGCCAAGATCGAAAAATCAGCAGATGACCCAAAATGCAGACTGTGCAAGGAAGTAGATGAAACCATGGACCATCTCCTCAGCTGTTGCAAGAAAATTGCACAGACTACAAAGACACAACTCTCTGGACCAAATGATTCACTGGAACTTATGTCACAAGGACCACCTGCCAGCAGTAAAAATTGGTGGGATCATAAACCTGCAAAGGTCGTGGGAAATGAACATGCAAAAATACTGTGGGACTTTCGAATCCAGATTGACAAAAGTTTTGGAACACAATATACCAGACATCACGATTGTGGAAAAGTCTGGATTATTGATGTCGCCATTCCAGGTGACAGTCACATTGAGGAAAAACAACAGGATAAACTCAGCCGCTATCAAGACCTCAAAATCGAACTGCAAACGCTCTAGCATAAACCAGGACAGGGGGTCCCAGTGGTCATTGGCGCACTGGCTGCCGTGCCAAAGATCGCGGCCGGCATTTGGAAACAATAAACATCGACAAAATCACGATCTGTCGACTGCAAAAGGCCACCTGACTTGGATCTGCGCGCATCATTCGAAAATACATCATACAGTCCTAGACGCTTGGGAAGTGTTCGACTTGTGATTTTATGATACGAAATCCAGCATAGAGATCTCGTTTGCTGTGACATACTGTGCTTTTGTGTCAATAATAATAATAACAATAATAATATAATCATCATAATTACCCGCTTTCACGGTTGCTTCTTATCTCCAAACTGCATCATGTCTCCAGCTGCACATCAAACCACTTCATTGAAAAATGCTAGGCCATTCAATGCTAATCAAGCGGGCCAATTGCTACATTCACCCCTACCTCAAACAGACAAACGAGTTCTTTCTCCCACCCTGGACATTATTCCACAGACTTCACAACCTCTAAGGATGCCTGCCATAGATACAGGCGAAGTGTCAGGAGAGAATGCTTCTAGAACATGGCCAGACAGCCTGGAAAACACACAACAGCCCACTTTTAAACATAGGCTAGATGGCCATCCGTTGGGGGTGCTTTGATTGTGCTTTTCCTACTTGACAGCGAGTTTGACTGGATGGCTCATGCAGTTTCTTCCAACTCTGTGATTCTCCTCTGACCCTGGGCAAGTCACACTTTTTCAGCCTCAGAGTAAACATTTGAACAAACCGTGTTAAGAAAACCCTGGAATAGTTTCTCTTGAGGGTCATCGCAAGTTGGAAACAGCTTGAGAGATGCAACAACAAAACTAACAGTGTGCAATGCAAAGAGAAAAGGTCATGGCATTGCAAGCTGCTGCCGAGCTTGTTTTGCAACTGCATCCACAGGAGGGAGGGAGGGAGGAGAGAGATATCTCAGAGGATAGTATATTGTATTATTATTGGTATTATATTGTATTATTGTATTATATTGTATTACATTATAATATCAATATTATATGTGTATACAATATATTATATTATGAGCACAGCACAATATTAGTATTATATATTACTATATTGTATTATACCACTATACTGAAGTATTATTAGTAATATTACATATGATATGAAATATAAAATTATTATATTGTATTATTATTAGTATTATATTGTATTATGTTATATTATATATTGTATTACATTATAATATTATCAATAGTATATTTATTTATTTATTTACTTTACTTTACTTGTATACCGCAGTTTCTCAGCCCAACAGGCGACTCAACGCGGTTTACAACAAGGATAAAAAACAGACAAAGATATACAATTTAAAACCCTAATAACATGGTATACAATATTAATACAACAATAAGCAACACAATACATCTCATAACTAGAGTCGTGATCCAGTTCGTCGTCCGTTTTTCCATTCCTGTATCATAACATTCATTGCACTGTTGGTCCGAATGCCCGTTCAAACATCCAAGTTTTTAATCTTCTTCAAAACACCATTAGTGAGGGGGCTGATCTAACCTCCATGGGAAGGGCGTATTACTATATTGTATTATACTACTATACTGAAGTATTATTAGTAATATTACATGTGATATGAAATATAAAATTATTATATTGTATTATTATTAGTATACTGTATTACATTATAATATCATCAATCTTATATATGTATACAATATATTATTAGCACAGCACAATATTAGTATTATGTATTACTATCTTGTACTATACCACTATACTGAAGTATTATTAGTAATATTACATGTAATATGAAATATAAAATTATTATATTGTATTATTAGTATACTGTATTACATTGTATTATCAATATTATATGTGTATACTGTACTATACCACTATACTGAAATATTATTAGTAATATTATATGTGATATGAAATATAAATTATATTGTATTATTATTATTAGTAGTAGTATTATATTGTATTACATTATATTATCAATATTATATGTGTATACGGAATATTATTAACACATCACAATATTAGTATTATATATTACTATATTGTATTATACTGTAATATCATTAGTAATATTACATGTAATATATATATATATACACACACACACACATATACATATACATATATATATATATATATACACTGTATCTCCCCAGTAAGGGTTAATTTTTGGAAAAGTTACTTTTAAGTTCCCAAACACTCCAGTGATTGCAGGATTCTGGGGTTTGTAGTCCAAAAGGAGTAACTCTTCTGAAATGGCAAAGAGAGGAAGCTTTTGGGGCTAAGCAGGGGAGATTCTGGGAGTTGTAGTCCAAAGGGGAAACTTCCCCAACTTTTCAAAGGCTTTGAGAAGGCCTCCACTCACTTTTCCGCAGCAGCAATCCCCTCACAGCAACACCGACCCCGGCCATGTCTCACCTCCTCCTGACTGAAAGTAGCAGAGCCTCACCTGGTCATGTGACAGCCAGCCCATATGCTCACGTGACCCCCGACCAAGATGGCTTCCCCAGACCAGGAGGCAGAGAAAGGGGCGTGACTATACTTAACGCCCAATCAGCGGACAGAGAATCTTGACAGCGGCGAGCGCCCCCTGGTGGGGTAAAAGGCGAACTGGGCTGCAGAGGACATTTAATAGCTCAGCCATTCCCATGTGCTTTGGACTCCAACTCCCATAGGGTTTCAGAGGTTCTAAGGCCCTATCTACACTGTCATATAATCCAGTTTACGATTCCAGATCATTTCCTTTGAACTAGAATCAGGCATGTCACAAACATTTAATGTGCAGATGTTATAAATTCCAAGAGAGATGTTGACAAGCTGGAATGTGTCCTAGAGGATGAGGGCAACTAAAATGATCAAGGGTCTGGAGAACAAGCCCTATGAGGAGCGGCTTAAGGAGCTGGGCATGTTTAGCCTGAAGAAGAGAAGGCTGAGAGGAGATATGATAGCCATGTATTATTATTATTATTATTATTATTATTATTAGAAGGCTGAGAGGAGACATGATTGTTGTTGTTGTTGTTCATTCGTTCAATCGTCTCCGACTCTTTGTGACCTCATGGACCAGCCCACGCCAGAGCTCCCTGTCGGCCGTCACCACCCCCAGCTCCTTCAAGGTCAGTCCAGTCACTTCAAGGATGCCATCCATCCATCTTGCCCTTGGTCGGCCCCTCTTCCTTTTGCCTTCCACTTTCTCCAGCATCATTGTCTTCTCTAGGCTTTCCTGTCTCCTCATGATGTGGCCAAAGGACTTCAACTTTGTCTCTAGTATTCTTCCCTCCAATGAGCTGCCGGGCTTTATTTCCTGGAGGATGGACTGGTTGGATCTTCTCGCAGTCCAAGGCACTCTCAGAACTTTCCTCCAACACCACAGCTCAAAAGCATCTATCTTCCTTCGCTCAGCCTTCCCTAAGGTCCAGCTCTCACATCCGTAGGTTACTACAGGGAATACCATGGCTTTGACTAGGCGGATCTTTGTTGCCAGTGTGATGTCTCTGCTCTTTACTATTTTATCGAGATTGGACATTGCTCTCCTTCCAAGAAGTAATCGCCTTCTGGTTTCCTGGCCAGTCTGCATCTGCAGTAATCTTTGCGGAGATATGATAGCCATGTATAAATATGTGAGAGGAAGTCACAGGGAGGAGGGAGCAAATTTGTTTTCTGCTGCCCTGGAGTCTAGGACGCAATGGAACAATGGCTTCAAACTACAAGAAAGGAGATTCCATCTGAACATGAGGAAGAACTTCCTGTGAGAGCCGTTCAGCAGTGGAACTCTCTGCTCCGGAGTGTAGTGGAGGCTCCTTCTTTGGAAGCTTTTAAACAGAGGCTGGATGGCCATCTGCCAGGGGTTCTTTGAATGCAATAATCCTGCTTCTTGGCAGGGAGTTGGACTAGATGGCCCATGAGGTCTCTTCCAACTCTTTGATTCTATGATTTAGTTACTTATAGAAAACCAAAGTGCTCTCCAGCAGTCACCAGGTAACCCCTCTCCAATGCCAGAAATACAGCTTAAAGGTGTAACGTTAGAAAATGTTGACCATTTCTGCTCCCTTGGCAGCCCCCTCTCCACCAAAGTCAACATTGACACTGAAATTCAACACCGCCTGAGGTCTGCGAGTGCAGCCTTTTCCCGAATGAAGCAGAGAGTGTTTGAGGACCGGGACTTCCCTAGGGAGACCAAGGGGCTTGTTTATAAAGCTATTCTCCTCCCAACCCTGCTATACGCTTGTGAGACGTGGACTGTCTACAGACGTCAATTGAGACAGAAATACAACACTGCCTGAGCTCTGTGAGTGCAGCATTGACACTGAAATTCAACACCGCCTGAGCTCTGCGAGTGCAGCCTTTTTCCGAAAGAAGCAGAGTGTTTGAGGACCAGAACAGCCATAGGGATACCAAGGGGCTTGTCTATAAAGCTCTTGTCCTCCCAACCCTGCTATAAGCTTGCGAGACATGGACTGTCTACAGACGTCACATGCAACTCTTGGAACGGTTCCATCAGCGCTGCCTCCAAAAAAATCCTGGAAATCTCTTGGGAAGACAAGTGGACAAATGTCAGCGTGCTGGAAGAAGCAAAGACCACTAGCACTGAAGTGATGGTACTCCGACATCAACTCCTTGGACCGGCCACATTGTCCGGATGCCCAACCACCATCTCCCAAAGCAGTTGCTCTACTCCAAACACAAGAACGGAAAATGGAATGTTGGTGGACAGGAAAAGAGATTGAAAGATGGGCTCAAAGCCAACCTTAAAAACTCTGGCATAGACACTGAGAACTGGGAAGCCCTGGCCTTTGAGTGCTCCAGCTGGAGGTCAGCTGTGACCAGCAGTGCTATAGAATTTGAAGAGGCACGAATAGAGGGCGAAAGAGAGAAACATGCCAAGGAAGGCATATCAAGCCAACCCTGACCGGGACCACCTTCCACCTGGAAACAAATACCCTCACTGTGGGAGATGATGTGTGGGAATGAATGGAAGAATGGAAGGATTTATGGAGCTAATAATTTTGGAAACACCAATAAAAAACCCAGGCCTGCAATGACCAACTTCCTTCTTGCTGGACTGTAATTAAAAGTTGTTAATCAGAGGTGAAAAGTAGACACTGATAAGAATTGGGACAGTGATAACAGAAATGTTTACAATGTTAAGAAGGAAGTCAACATAAAATCAACACCAATCAAGAAGATCAACATCTGGCCAGGAAACTGAGATGGATCCAGGATGGAAAAAGTCTGGAATACTCTGCTGATGTAGTCCCAAATTTTTAAATTGATAAATTTAAAACTTTGGGACTACATCAGCAGAGTATTCCTATAAAAGACTCAGTCTAATAATGCTCAAAGTGTGGCAGACCTGAGGAGTCTGTTCCACCTGCTATGCTCTGCTCCATGGGAAGGAGAGAGATAGTGTACCATGGAGTGGCAGATTTGCAAGGGAGCAGTCTGGTCACTTTGGGGCTTCTTCCTGTAATTTTAAATCCAATGTAGTTGCATAGAATTGGTATGTCTGTATATCTAAATGTTTTTCTGTAATCTGATATACCCCCTCACACTGGAAAGTGCAATAAAAGAACCTATGCTTCAAAGTTACTGGAAAGGTCATTCATGACATATAGACAAACTTCAGTCCTCCAGGTGTTTTGGACATCAACTCCCACAATGGGTTGTTGAAGGTTTTTTCGGGCTATATGGCCATGTTCTAGAGGCATTATCTCCTGACGTTTCACCTGCATCTATGGCAAGCATCCTCAGAGGTAGTGAGGCCTGTTGGAACTAGGAAAATGGGTTTATATCTCTGTGGAATGACCAGGGTGGGGCAAAGAACTCTTGTCTGCTGGAGCTAGGTGTGAATGTTTCAACTGACCACCTTGATTAGCATTTGATGGCCTAGCAGTGTCTGGGGCAATCTTTTGTTGAGAGGTAATTATCTGTCCCTGATTGTTTCCTCTCTGTTGTTTTGCTGTTGTAATTTTAGAGTTTTTAATACTAGCAGCCAGCTTTTATTCATTTTCATGGTTTCCTCCTTTCTGTTGAAATTGTCCACATGCTTGTGGATTTCAATGGCTTCTCGGTGTAGTTTGACATGGTGGTTGTGAGAGTGGTCCAGTATTTCTGTGTTCTGTGTGAAGCCCACAAAACGCGAAGGGGCTTTTCTAAATGTGTGATGAAATAATTAACATTCTGAAGGAGGAATACAAACACAACTTTCTTTGCAGGTTTATGCCGGCACAAGACTTTTGGGCCCTCAGGCCTCACTTTTGTCACCAAAAAGGGAAAGTGAAGCTGTATCTACACGGTTTCTGAAATTTGAACTGAATTGCATGAGTCTACACTGTTATATAATGCAGTTCAAAACAGGCAATTTGGATTCAGAAACTGGATTATATGGGAGTGTAAATGGGGGGCACAAGAAGAAAGAGAAACTGAGACATTTTAATACAGCTGAAAATGTGGAATGACAAATGATCACAAGACCCCATCTACACTGCCACAAAGCACGGTTCAATGGATTTAAACTGCAAATTCAAGTGTAGCATATGATCTTAGCACTGTTTTTTGCACAGAAACTTCATCAAACTTTGCAAAAGCACCACCACCACCACAGCCTTTTTTGTGAACGGTTTATTTTCCGAACAGCTTTATTAAGGTGTGCCGAGCAGCACAGGCAGCACAAAGTATGAATTGGGGGAAAGGGGGGGACAAGTCACATGAACAATACTTTTAAAATCAGGTGTCATCAGGATGCCCCAGGGTTTGTCTTCTCCCAAGGGAACACACAGCTGCAGGCAGCTCCTACTTAGGCTTTCCATTTTTTTTATTAAAAAGAGGGAACAAAGGAAGGGGTGCTTTGCCAAAAAGGAAAAAAAAAACCACGTACGCACAAAAAAAGGGACTTAATGGAGAAGTCTTCCTTGGCAAACACCTACAGAACTTACGAGGCATGCTGGGCGGTGGAAAAGCAGAGCTTCAGTGTGTACGGATATGGCCCATCTGAGAGGAAGGAAGACATGTTTGTTAGCAATCCCTAAACGTTATTTCATTCCTCTGCAATACAAGCATCAAAAGCCCTATCGAGGCAGGGGTTGTCGCTACTAACAGTTTACTAAAGGCTTTTTGCCAAGTAATAAAAAAGGATCTGAACCCTTTCTTACAGCAGTAAAGCAGCTTTTATGGCTTGGTTGGGTGTGTTATCTGCTCACTGCATAAAACAAAGCACTGGGTTTCTAGTTTTTAGCTTTGCTTAGCTTGGCTCGGTTTAGAACTGGTAGCTCAAAGCTGGAAACTGCAACGTAAGTCAAGGCCAAGAAAGACTGCTTATCTAAACTACAAACGAAGGGCATCTTACTTTCAAGGAAGAAGGCAGAAACTGAACTGTGTGCTACTTTTGTTTTCTGCCGTCAAATAAAGAAGACTCGCTGTAGAAAGTGTTTCTTACTATACTGCGGTGAGATCAACTATTCTGATTTGCTTTGTAACATTGTTGAATGAAAGTGAATGAACTGTTTTCTTTTCTACTTAAAGCCACAACTCAATCATGTGCATTTTTGAGTTCAGGGTCACACTATATTAAAAGGGGCTGAAATATCTTTTAACGGGATATGTGCAATCTGCTCTAACCAGTCTAACGGGATTTATGTCTGATTTAACAGATGGGGAAACCAACAAATGAAAAAGCTGAAACCTTCCCTAACCTGAGCCATTTGATGAAGGATTTATTGTTATTACCACCTTTTTATTTTGATTATTGTGGTGTTATTTACACTGTTGTAAGCTGTTCCAAGTCCCCTCGGGGAGATGGGGCAGGGTATAAATAAAGTTGTTGTTGTTACTACTACTGCTGCTGCTAAAGGAAGCCTACTAGACCTCACCATTACACCATTGGCTCCACAGCCACCTACAGACTCACAAGAATTCTGATCCTGGAAGACTATCCTACTCGGCCAACGAGGGATCGCCTAAGTAAGTAACTAGACCTCAATCCTTGATACAAATATTAGGGATGATGACAATAATAAAAAAGGAAACATTAAAAAAGTGAACTCCCAATTTCACTTCCAACTAATGATCAGAAAGAATTGATGTTTGAAAAAAGGGAACTCCTTTCACTTTAAACCAGTGGTTTCCAACCTTTTTTCTGACCAGGGAAACTCTCCAACATTAGTACCAAAAGGATTACGAATCGGTTTTTGGTCTACTTTAGATTTGGTTTGGTTATTTGGGGTGCTGGTTCAGAAAATTGCACTAGACCACATCAGCTCTAGTTTCGGATACAGAACGTATGCAATCCAGTAGTAGTCGCCATCTGCTCATCCACAGAAAACCATATTTAAAATTTAGAGCTCATGTGGTCTATCCAATGCGATTTTCTGAATCAGCAACTCCAAAAATCCCCAGGAACAGGCCTAAAAACAAAGACACCAAGGATTTGGGGGGTGGGCTGTGTTACAATCCGTGGATTTTGTCAACACTCTTGTTAAAAAAAAAAGGAGGGGGGGCGAGGTTGAAAAAAGAATCTGTCCCTAATGCCTTTAATAATAATAAGAACAAGTTTGGGGGGCTAAACAGGGTCTTTCAAAGGGCTGCTTTCCCATTACAACTGATGTGTGGCAATGGGAGCTAATAACAACAACTTTGGGGAACTCTGCTCTCTCTCGCTCCCCTGCGCGTGCCAGCGGGTGAGTCTTCTCCACTCTACCCTGGTAAGCCTCTCTAGGCCGAGAAAGCACTGGTTTCTCTTTCCTTCCCTCCCTCTCTCTCCTCCTTTCTCTCACTCTCCTCCTTATTTTAGGTCTTGCAGCCCACAGGCTGGGAACCACTGCTTTAAACCCACAAAAAATGGGGCCAAACTGCAATATCCTACAGAGCTTGATCACTGAGTTGCACTGGAAGACCCAGATCATGTTAATAAAAATCTACAAATAATCTCATACAAGTTTAACCCACAAACGTGGGACAACTATCTTTCAAAGCTGAAGATCTATAATTAGTAAAAAATGGTATCTATGAGAGAGAAGACTTACTTGGGTTTTTCATTTGATAATGGTTGAGGAACGCCAGGGTCTCCAAAGCATCGCCTTTAGTTTCCCACTCCAGCAAACCAGAGGAGCTCCTTTCGCCTGTGGACACATTAGCAGCGTAGAAATTTAATGTTTTATCTTGCCCTCCTCCCCATAAAGGGGCCCAAAGGCAACTCACAATAAGGATTAAAACACAACATCATTAAAATAATGGGGAGTAAAGTGAGAACTAAACAAGCAACAGTTTTAAAAGGCCTTTAAATGATAAAAAAAACACCACACTACCTACAATTAAAAGATTCAAATCATAAGAGAGTTAACTACAAGGTATACTTACTTTTCCCCGAAAACACTTTGACTGAAGCTGGTCTCTTCACCCCAAGTTCATCACAAATCTAACAAAAGGAGAAAATCATATCCAAGATTAAGCAACAATACTAATCATATATGTTTGTTGACACTTGCAGTCTTGTCTTCCCCCTCCCTTTGATGTTCATACACATTCACAAAAGGGATTCTGGAGGACATTGTTCTTTACCTTGCCTGTGGTAAAAGGCAGGCACATACATGTAATATTGGATCAGCTTGAACAGGGGTCCTCAAACTAAGGCCTGGGGGCTGGATACGGCCCTCCAAGGTCATTTACCCGGCCCTTGCTCAGGGTGAACGACTTGAAAGCATACAACAACGGCAATCCCTTCTCATCAGCTCAAAGCAGGCCCACACTTCTCACTGAAATACTAATAAGTTTATATTTGTTAACATTGTTCTTCATTTTAATTACTGTATTGTTTTTAAGTGTTTTTTGCACTACAAATAAGATATGTGCAGTGTGTATAGGAATTCGTGTTTTTTCAAATGATAATCCGGCCCTCCAACAGTTTGAGGGACTGTGACCTGGCTCTCTGTTTAAAAAGTTTGAGGACCCCTGAGCTAGAAGGCAGTTCTACTCTTTTCTGGAAGCCGACACTGAAAACCTGTGTTTTTCTAGCTCTCTTTCCCCACCTTCCCAATGCTAATGCTGCTAAAAAGTTTCCAATAGTAAAGAAGATGAGGAGGAAAAGTTTGGATAGACTTAAAGGCCCTTACAAAAAGGAGCATCACCACAGACACTTCACTGACTTTTATTCCTGTATCGGCAGAAGAATCGTATATCCAGTACTAAAACAACCTCATCTGCTTGAACAGATTAATTCCATACTGGAGCCCAATAAATCAGTGGTTCTCAACCTGGGGTCCCCAGATGTTTTTGGCCTACAACTCCCAGAAATCCCAGCCAGTTTACCAGCTGTTAGGATTTCTGGGAGTTGAAGGCCAAAAAAATCTGGGGACCCAGGTTGAGAACCACTGCACTAAATGTTGTTCAAATGCATCTTCTAACAGTCCTGACAAGCACAGCAAAAGGAAAGGGATATTGGGAGTTGCCCACCATCAATATCCAAAGGAGTAAGCTTCCACTTTTGGCGTAGCCTCTCCCTTTCAGCAAAGAAATCACTCAATTCCATTCTCTTTGAGTCTCTAAATACCATATATACTCGAGTATAAGCCAACCCGAATATAAGCCGAGGCACCTAATTTTACCACAAAAAAACAGGGAAAATGTATTGACTCGAGTATAAGCCGAGGGTGGGAAATGCAGCAGCTACTGGTAAATTTAAAAATAAAAATAGATACCAATAAAATTATATTAATTTAGGCATCAGTAGGTTAAATGTTTTTTGAATATTTACATAAAACTGTAATTCAAGATAAGACTGTCCAACTCTGATTAAACCATTATTCTAACCTTCTTCAATGTAAATGTGCTTACATGTCCTCCAATAATAATAAATAGAGTTAAATAAAAATAGAGTAAAATAATAAATGTAATATAGTAAAATAATAAATGTAATATAGTAAAATAATAAATGTAACAATAACAACAGTAAAATAATTAACGTAATACAGTAAAATAATAAATGTAACAATAACAGCAATAGATTAAAATAATAAACGTAATACAGTAAAATAATAAATGTAACAATAACAACAATAGAGTAAAACAATAAACGTAATAATAACAATACAACAACAAAGTAAAATAATAAATAATATTGACTCGAGTATAAGCCGGGGAGACTTTTTCAGCCTAAAAAAAGGACTGAAAAACTAGGCTTATACTCGAGTATATACAGTACTAGAAATGTCAGTGCAATGGAGCAGAGCCTGAGACTGACACCTCTTACCTCGTAGAAATTATCTTCGGTCACCTCCAGAGGAGCATTAAAGAAATGGAGGACATTGCTGGGGTGCTGGATCCTGTTCTTGGCAGCCTGCTCCGGAGTGGAAAACCGGTTGTTCCGAGAACCGCTGAAGTCCTTGTAGCTGCACGAGCCATCCTCAAGACCGTATGACTGCCCTGGCATGATGGCCTGCTGCTTGGACACACTGCGTGGGGGAAAGGAAGAAAGGCAACTTAAATGCTGATGTAACCTTCTAACAAGGACAAAGCTTAGAGTGAAAGCAAGGGGCACTCACCACACGTTTAGCTTCTGATCAAACATGAAATTGTTGTTGAGATGGGTGATCGCTCGGTCCACAGCATAGCCATCTGCCATCTCTACCATGGCTGCTCCAGGCTTGCTTTTCATGAACTTCACCTAAAATACAAATCCCTTTGCTTAAAACATGCAAGATAAACCCCACTGACAAAAATGGTTTCCTTGCAGAGTCAAGGCACCAAATAAGCCACATTGCAACCAATACTTTTTCATGTCTCCATTAGAGTTGGGCCCGAATCACTGTTACCGAAAAGATTTGTAGTTTTCGGATGGCCATTTTTTTTGTAAATTTCAAAAACAGAAAGGGGAAGAGCAAGACCAAAACACCAGTGAAAGGAATTCAGAGATGATATTTTCAGAGTTACTGTATATACTCGAGTATAAGCCAACCCGAATGTAAGCCGAGGCACCTAATTTTATCACAAAAAACTGGGAAAACATATTGACTCGAGTATAAGCCAAGGGTGGGAAATGCATCCACTGTGGGTCAATTTCAAAATAAAAATAGATACCAATAAAATTACATTAATTGAGGCATCAATAGGCTAAATGTTTCTGAATATTTACATAAAACTGTAATTTAAGATAAGACTGTCCAACTCTTATTAAACCATTATTCTAACCTCCTTCAATGTAAATGTACTTATTAAAATAATAAATATAAAAATAATAGAGTAAAATAATGAAAATGCAATAAAACAGTAATAATAGAGTAAAATAATAAATGTAATAATAATAGGGTAAAATACTGTAAATGTAATAATAATAATAATAATAATAATAATAATAATAATATAAATGTAATAACAATAATAGAGTAAAATACTGTAAATGTAATAATAATAGAGCAAAATAATAAATAGAATAATAATAGAGTAAAATAATAAATGTAATAAAATAATACTAATAACAGAGTAAAAGAATAAATAACCTTGACTCGAGTATAAGCCATGGGGAGCTTTTTCAGCCTAAAAAAGGGGCTGAAAAACTAGGCTTATACTCGAGTATATACAGTAAGTCCACAAAATACCTGAGCCAGGGGAATCTGTGATGTTGTTTTTTCTCTCCAGCAGAAAAAGCCTCCCATTTTTTTCTTGGAAGTTCCCTCCTCCAGAGAGAACCCTTAGAATTAACTTTCCCAGTGGCACTACCATAGCGTGGGCACTGAAAGTTCCTCTCGGAGCATGATGGGAGTTTCAGTTTTTTCTCTCTGTGTGTGTCTCTCAGCCTGGTAGTGTCCATGCTCTGAGAATGGACACAATCGGCGACTACAACTCCCAGAACCTTCTCTTGCTGTTTGTCTTATTTTTAAAAATGTTATGTTTAAAACATTAAATAATACTAAAAAATCAGTAGTTTGGAGGATTGTTTTGAAACTTGGCGGGCCTGCAGTTGTAAATGGGGTCTACAACTGAGGTTCATTTCATGCAGATAGGACTTAAAATGGCTGAGGATAGAGCCTTTAAAGTTTTTCATTGTAGTCAATGGGCCGAATTTCTGCCGGATGAAACAGAAAACACCCCTCCCATTTCGGGTAACTTTCTGGTAAACGAAATGAGGGATCAGATGGAAATGGACCCAAAAAATGACATGACTTTTGGCCCGAATGCACACGTCTAATATGCAATGGTCTCACTTTTATTTTTTAGCCCCACATAACTTAGGATCAGGACATCTAAAGGACTGCTTTCTCCCATTTGAATCTGCCTGACTTTTATGACCTTTTGGAAACTTTTTGGGTGTGCTCATTTCAATAAGGTGCAGTCAATGACTAAGGGTGCAGCTACAGTGTAGAATTACCGCAGTCTAACACCACTTTAACTGCCATGCTCAATGCTATGGAGTTGTAAATGGGGTCTACAGGTTGGTTTCATGCAGATAGGCCTCAAAATGGCTCAGGATTGAGCCTTTAAAGTTTCTCATTGTAGCTAATGGGCCGAATCGCTGCCGAATGAAACAGAAAACACCCTTTCAGGTAACTCTCTGGTAAATGAAATGAGGAATCGGAAGGAAACAAACCCAAAAATGGCATGCCTTGTGGCTTGCAAGCACATGATTAGCCTCCATTATGTTCCCACGTTCCTCTAACCAAAGCCACTCTCATCTTTCCTTTTGCCACTGTTTCTCACAAGCCCCAATTTATTTATTTTTTTACTTAGAGAAATGCAATTTTCCAATTTAGGTAACTATTTCAAACTACATTTAAGGTAAAACAAACACTCTGGCCAATACGGATATGCAGATTTTGAATGCATTAAATTCACTTGTTATTTTTTATACACGTTGTAATAGGACCAGGTTCTGCACAATCCAATGCAGAGACCAACAGCTAAGATTTAAAAAAAGAATTCACTGCCAGCCATTCTGCTCAATGTGCTACTAGGGTGAATAATAATAATAATAATAATAATAATAATAATAAACTTTATTTATACCCCGCCGCCACCATCTCCCCAAGGGACTCGGAGCGACTTACATGAGGCCAAGCCCAAAATTACATCAATAAACCCAACAGTACATCAATAAACAAAACAGCAAATATAGTACAATTAATATAAATCACATATAAACAATAACCAAAAAACAGTAACACACAAGGATTAAAAACCTATGTGTGAATGACAGGGAGAAAATATTCCAATAGTTTACCTTCTCCACATTCCCATAAAGGCAGAAGACATTGAAGACCCGGTCGCAGTTCATCTTAGACTGGTCCAAGCCGTACACCATCAGGACGGGGCTGTCAGCGTGTGGGCCATACTCCGGGGGTGGTGGTGGAGGCGGGGGGTGCCCGTACTGAGGTCCATAGCGCCCCGGTCCCCTGTGGCGGCCCCCCACCGGTGGGCCCATCCGCCTGCCTTCGTAGTGAGGTGGCGGAGGGCCGTACCCTTCGTCATGATAGTGCCCATGATAGCCACCATGAGGCCCTCCTGGGGGAGGAAAAGCAACCAAGTAAGGAACCCAGAGATACATAATATGATCTGTAGAATTCCAGAAGGTGTTTCAATCCTGGATGGAATTCATGACAAATGCTTACCATATTCAGCAGGATGGTCCCCGAGGAGGGGAGGCTGCCTCTGCCGCTTGTTAGGATTTCCACCTGGCTCACCTGCCAAAAAGAGGAAGCTGTTAGGAAATGGCAGGAGGAGCCTGGCAGTTGAATTTATGGGATGGGACACTGGGAAGCCTTGCTTAGGCCATAAGTTCTCCTTGTGGTGCCATTGAACTGTTTCCAACACCCCAAGAAGGAGAGCTATCTTCCGTCACTAGGAGACATTGGAGGAAGCTAAGATGGGAGATCAATTCCTCCTTGTCAAGGAGTTTAGAGATGATGGGGGGGGGGGGGTACAAATTGGACCTTTTTAATTTGATCTCAAAGGTAAAGGTTTCCCTTGACATGAAGTCTAGTCATGTCTGACTCTGGGGGGTGGTGCTCATCTTTATTTTTAAGCTGAATTGCCGGCCTTGTCCATAAACACCCCCAGGTCATGTGGCTGGCATGACTGCATGGAGCGCCTTTACCTTCTCGCTGTAGCGATATCTATTGATCTATTTTTTTGGTCTCAAAATGAATCTAAAACGACTGGCTTCCCACCCTGCTCTCTAATATGCTCTATGAATTGTCACAACTCGCCAACACTATTCTTAAGGATCTGTGTCTTGATCATTCCTCAAAATAGTCTTTTTGGACCAAAGGGGCAAATTCAATTTGTAACACGATTTCTCCATAAAGGCAAATTGCATAAATAAAGATGCTTGCTTTCGGAAAGAAGTTGGCAGAGAGGGGGGATTAGCAGAAGAAAAGAGAAAGTGACAAAACAAACTGATGGATCCTTCTCAGGAGGGGTTTAAGCAAAGACTGGATGGCTATCTCTCAGGAGTGATTTAGCTCTATATTTCCTGCATGACAGAACGGCACTGGACTAGATGGCCCTTGACAGTATCCCTCAGGACCAAAGGGGGGGAAAAAGAAAAGAGAAAAGATGAACATGCCACCCTCCATAGCCCTGGAAGCGCTAAAAGGATCGAGCAAGACCGAGAAAAACATGGCAAAGCAAAGCAAAAACCGCAATCAAGTTAAAACACGTAACTGTTTACAAAGGCAGAAGAATTTAAGCAATTCATACAATTTCACTTTATTCTTAACAAACAAAATAATAGTAATTAAGAAGTGTTTTGCACAGTTTATTTCAACAATCATTACAAAGATTGAAAAGGGCTACTTACAGCAGGAGTTAACAGTACAATGTCCATTGTCACATACATATTCTGCATTTCTCTTACCATTGGACGCTTCAACAGTGAAAGCACAGTTCTGAAAGATGGCGTCCCATCAAACATACACTGCGACCCTGCGTTACATGGTTTCAGAGTCAATTGCAAGTCAAGTCACAAAACGGATACAATTAAGTAAAAAAATTGTAATAATTTAAATAAGAAGAGCTCACAGATGTTTGTTTTGTCTTCAGATGGTGTCAAGGAAAATAGGACATAACAAAGGTGTGATAATGAGTGTCCCTTCCGTGTTGCGTCTCCTGATGTTTTTTTTTTTTTGGTCATGTGCTGTTATCAGGTTTGGTGCTTCTGGCTCTGTGTAGGTCTCCCGTGTGCGTGTCTCTCCTCTGTAAATGGAGTGTGCCTTGGCTCCCAAGTGGCCCCCTTGGAGCAGGAAAGCACCCCCAGCCTCTAGGGAGCTGGGCGCTTTGGCTACATGGTGTTTTTTTTTTTGGTTTTGTTTTTTGTCTGTCTTCGCTTGGCACTGCTGATACAAATGTTGGCAGCCGAGGACTGCGAGAGAAAAAAAGGGAGTGATACAACTGCCCTCCCAAACCAAACCGTGTTGATGTGGAGAGCGTCCTATGTCTTGGAGGGTCTCTGGGATCTACTCCGTTCTCCGGTAAAGAGCGCTGGTGCGTTTTTGTCTGAGACCCCTCTGGTCTGTGTTTTCCTAGATTTTCCTGTGTTACATTCTTGGGTTCAAGGTTTTTGGTTTGTTTTGCATTTGTAAGGAATGTCGTGGCCTGGTGCGTCTTTCTCTCTCTCTCTCTTTCTGTCTCACTCTGTGCTTGTAGATGTCTCTTGAATCGCGGTGTTGTGTTCTTGATGTTAGAAATGAGCTCAATCTGCTGCGTTTCGGGTACGTTTAAGATGCTGCGTGTTTTCTCCAGGCGTTAGAGCTAGTGGAAGGATGGCCTTTCGGTTTTTTTTCCTACACTGTGTAGTGTTAAAAACAGAATGTGAGGCAGAAGGCAGATCACAGGCAAATTCAGGACTTCCACTGCAGGAGCATACGGTTTGTTTTTCCCCAGGTTCTTGTGTGAAAGCACTTTGTTCAGAGCTGGGGAAAGGCCAGGTCAATGCACCTCCTGTTTGCCCAGCCTAAAGGCAGGAGAGCCAGGAGGCCGCTCACTGAACGGCGCAGCCCTGCCAACTAGCCCCTGCCAATCTGCCCATCTTCTAGTTATGTACCTTGGAGGAGAAAGTGAGTCATGTCCATGTCAAGTCATGTAATGCCATTGCTTGCTTCGCTGCCGGGGTGGAGTCAAAAGAGACCTCTGCCAAACCCCCTTGACCACCACCAGCCTCCCTCAACTGCTTGTCTGGAGTTCTAGGCGATCCTGCTACAGGCAGGGAACAAGATGGCTCAACTGTCAAGTTGCAAGGAGACATCTGCTGCACAAACACAGGCGGCCCCTTTGAATCTGTCCCACACACATTTGTAGCACATAGAAGAGAGGGCAGTATCACGCTTGTACGTAAGCTGCAGAAATAGGATGGGTGAGTTATGCCTTGGGTTGATCTAGAGCTGGCATGGGCCAACTTCAGCCCTCCTGGTGGGTTGGACTTGAACTCCCACAATTCCTACTGGCTGTTAGGAATTGTGAGAGTTGAAGTCCAAACCTGGAGGGCTGAAGTTGGCACATGCATGATCCAGAGCATCTAAAGCAGGTCTGCACAACTTTTGGGCCTCCGACTCCCAGGAGCCCCAGCCAGCTTGCTCAAAATCAGGAATTCTGGGAGCTGGGGATGGGTGAGTTATGCCTTGGGTTGATCCAGAGCTGGCATGGGCCAACTTCAGCCCTCCAGGTGGGTTGGACTTCAACTCCCACAATTCCTACTGGCTGTTACGAATTGTGGGAGTTTATTTACTACCCATATATTCCGGCGTATAAGACGACCCCCAACTTTTCCAGTTAAAATATAGAGTTTGGGATATATTCGCCGTATAACACTACTCCTCTTCCAATGCACACCAAATAAAAATTTAAAAAGCATCAGATTTGATTTCAATATGGTGATGTTCCTATTACTGTACCTCCTTCTCTGCCTCTCAGATCCTGCACATGCGCACCTGCACCGCTTCACTGCAGTCTTCAGGAGCGAGATCTGAGAGGCAGAGGAGGAGGTACGGTAATAGGATACAAGGGCGGGCCAGACAGGTAAAAGAGGTGTGTTTGTCTGGGCCCAGAGCCCCTCTATCTCTTTTTCCCATACCCCGGGCGCACTGGATGCCTGCAGCTTGCTCCGCCCTTCACATACACCTTCCCTGTGAGGCCCCGCTTCATCTCACCATCAGGACCGCATTAAGTCCACGAATCCTAATGAATGGATTTTCTTCTACTGTACTTGTGTAGCATCGCCCTTAATGCTTTCATACAGTCGCTGCATACGGCAGGGACACGGCCATTGCCATTTTTGAGCTTCCCCCACCATATGCGGCAACCACAGATTCTCCAATCCGATTGGAAGTTTCAGCACCCGCTCTATAAGACAACTCCTGTGTATAAGACGACCCCTGGCTTTTGAGAAGATTTTCTTGGGTTAAAAAGTAGTCTTATACACTAGAATATACGGTATATTTGTATACCGCTCTTCTCAGCCCTCAGGTGACCCAGGTTGAAGTCCAAAACACCTGGAGGGCTGAAGTTGGCCCATGAGTGATCCAGAGCATCTAAAACAGGTCTGCACAACTTTTGGGCCTCCAACTCCCAGAAGCCCCAGCCAGCTTGCTCAATATCAGGAATTCTGGGAGCTGATGTCCATAACATCTGGAAGGGCCGCAAATTGTACAGATCAGATTTATATCCATTTTCTAAAACAGCTTCAGATGTTTTGGACCACAATTTCCAACAGCCTCAGTCTAGTCCAAAATATCAAGCTGAAGAGGGGAAGCCTGACCTGAAGTTTAGCTTGCTCACCATCTTGTCTTTCCCTTAACAGCATTTATGGGATCCCCGGGATAAAAGGTTTTATTTATTCCCTTCTTTAACACGCCTGTGGGTTGCATGCACACAAAGTGTCCCTTGAGATTCCCCTTTCTTCATCAGAACTAGCCATTGAAGTCTCATGCACACATCCATGCGGGCAAACCAAGTCTTCTGGAAGGAACCCACGCCTTCACCGGGAATACCTTGCAGTTAATAACTGAATTAATGCAGGGGCTTTAAGTAATTTGACCCTCTACTTGCAACAAAAAGGGTGGAAATAGCCAGTATCTCAAGCACACAGGATTAAGAGCTTTCTGAAATGTTGCCATTTGGAGAGCAGTCTCCAAATGACTGTTTTTCACCTTAATATCCGCACCTTGCAGACGTCAATACTACCTTTGTGACTGGGTACCATATTCCCAATATGTACTTCTGTCTTCTAATACTACCCCAGCACAATGACACAAGATATTATGGTGCAATTGGTTGGTGTCTCACCCCCTCATTAAAACTACCTATACCCATCTGTCTTATGCCTTACTAGGCTGTGCCAATAAACAGTGCCCATGGAGACAGTAGAAGTCAAAGCACTGCAGTGTTAAAAGTCTCCAAGGCTTGCAACATCTGGCACAATATCGGACAGCAGGCAAATGGCATTACATCACACAAATCAGATCTATGAGGTGTGCAATTCAATAAGAAAGGGAAGTATTTATGAGTGGCTTTAAAAGCAGCCAGTAATGGTTACCTTGTCCACTGAGGTTGGGGTTGGTGTAGTCCCATGTGTCCTGGTCATTCTTGAACACATTCAGGCGGGTGGGCTAAAGAAATCAGAAGCAATCCAAGAGAAAAGGGTTGAGTGTGCTTTTTATTCTAGTGGCAAGCTGCCAATATGCCCATTCCCATGAATTAAGCCTTCTTGGATGGATGCATGGAGCCCCCAATGGCGCAGTGAGTTAAACCCCTGCGCCGGCAGGACTGAAGACTGACAGGTCACAGGTCCGAATCCAGGGAGAGCGTGGATGAGCTCCCTCTATCAGTTCCAGCTCCTCACGCAGGGACATGAGAGAAGCCTCCCATAAGGATGGTAAAAACATCAAAACATCCGGGCATCCCCTGGGCAACGTCCTTGCAGACGGCCAATTCTCTCACACCAGAAGCGCAGTTTCTCAAGTCGCTTCTGACACAACAACAAAAAAAGCCTTCTTTTGCAATCAGCCATCTAAATATAGTGGCAACATATTGCTCAAATTAATTCCCCCATGAAGTGATGGGAAGAAACTGGTGATTGGGGAGTTTTCTGCCATCCCTGCACCACACTATCAAGATTATTGGGTCAATTGGTTATTTATTCAAAGGGGGAAAGTATGTATCATACGGGAGTTTAAGAGTGGAAACTCCCTCTGGTTTTGTGACCAATGTCAAAGCCCTAGGGACAAAGAGTACATGTCTAAACAGTGGGGGGAAACCCTGCTTAGCTCTTTCTGGGAGCAAAGTAATCTTACTTGGGTGGACTTCACTGCCTGATTTAATTAGATTCATCCACCTTTATGGTGAAAACACACATCCTTTCCTTAGTTGAACACACATATACAGTTGGCCCCTGACCACTCCTCACCTTGGCATATTCAATCTTCAGAGTACAGCAGCCAGAGTAAATGTCTGCTCCATTCAGAGAAGCCTTTGCTCTTTGTGCACTCTGCACAGAGTCAAATGTTTGTAGTGTTAAGGAAGCCTTCATATGCTATTGTAAAGCTTTTAGGCCATTCTAAAGATATGATGCAACTGAACGCCCTGCTGGAACCTTCCAGAAACAACCCTTCATTATAGGTCCCCTTTAAACTTCAATTCCTGTCTCCAATGCCCAACTGCGATGCCTGTTCCTGCCTGCAGACATTGTTCTGTGGAGATACCTGCCCATAACAATTTTTCGTGGCATATTTTTAAAAGCTCAGCAAAGAGAAATAACTTCTGGTTGATGAGTCAAAAGAATAAGGTAGCAATAATTATTCTTGGGGGTGGGGAGGTGGGGGATGCTTGAAATAAGCATATATAAATCATCTTGCCTAAGCTGGCAGAAACTGCCCTTGTTCTACCCAGGGCAGTTGGATCAGGACAAGTTTGATCCAACTGTTACACTTTTTCAACTGTCGAAAAGGAAAAAAAGGATATTCCACCATGGCCTGGACCCCATTCTTTCGGAAGATAACAATTCGCTGTACTGGGCCACATGGGTTGCAGATCGTATACAGCACATCCTGTGAAGGGATATAAGAGATTATAGAAAAGCAGCTCTATCTTTGGAAGAAGTCACCACTGTACTAATATTCTAATAACTCTGGTTTTATGGAAATTGCTTTGTATCTCTATTTTCAAGAAAGCAAGAGAGAACAGCTGCAACGAGGCTGAATCACCGCTTCCATCCATAGTAGCATCTACAAAAACCAGATTGATTTGCACAGACAAAGTTATTCTAGGAGTACACGTGCCAATTTGCCCAGAGTCAGCACCTCTATGCATGAAATAAATACTGTTGTCTAGTAAATCCTGCCAGGTACACAAAGGGCCAGAGCGGCAGAACATTTTTGGGTGAGCATCGCCTACTTCAGCAGCATCACTACACACCGTTGTAATGGAATAGATGGGGTTCAAGATGGTGAAAAGCAGGACATTGTTGACACCCCTAGAATCATCGGAGTCACCAGGCCGTGAGATCTTCTGGCTTGTGGAATAGTTGACAAAGGACGGATGCCCAGCAATGTAGATCTGGTTATCGGCTGCGTAATTGACAGCACTGCAGGCTCCCAAGATATCCTCAAACTCCACCAGGGCTTGCCTCTTTTTGGGCATCACCACCACATAGCTGGGAATAAGGAGGACAGAAGGGACCATCTTGTTGAATACAGCCAACACAGAGAGTAGGAACAAACATCCCATTTCCTTGAACCCACTGCTAACCTGATCGGGCCAAATTCCTGCAGGGCCTCCACGAGATCAGCTTCCACAACACCATCGATTAGACCCCTGATGTGGACAACAGGGGAAGCAGCTGGCTTGTGGGGGTCATCATAGTTCTCCTACCAAGGAAACAAAATGGGAAGAGCCCATTAAGAGAGAATGCTTGGCTCGTTTTGCTAAGTGCAATCTAAAAATGTTCACCAAGGGTCTCTGCTACTGAGGTCTGGAGCAATTTATTTTATGCCACTTATTGCACAGCAAACAAAAATATGGGACCAAATCTTTCAAAGAAGCCTTGAATGCTTATCTACAAATAAATTAAGGTTTGGGCAAGATCTGAGGTTGCTATGTGTCTTCTTCAGCTACTATGCAACTGTCAGGAACTAAATGGTTCTCATTCAGGACATACTGTTTTCCTCTTACCTCTATTCCAACCCTAACCATCAGTAGTTCTTCCAAACACACCTGGAATTCAAATCTGTGTTCCTCTTGCACAAGGAAGTTATATTTTACTTAATATGGCTGGTAAGGAACCCATCCTCCTGATGATTATCCGGCGGCAGAAAAGTCAACAAGTCAATTCACTGGCTCTTGGTCAAAGAAAAACCTGTTTTGTCTGTCCTGGCAACGTCTAGTATCTAAACCATCTCTGTTCTATATAGAACTCACGTCTTCTAAGTGAAACTTTACTCCACTATTTTAACACCCCTTTAAACTGGACTACTGGCATCACTATTCCCAGTCAACGTTCTATAGTTAAGTCCCAAGCATGATATACCACAAAAGTCTATTGTCTCAATATAGGGACACTCCATTTTGCGTCTATGGGAAAGCTGCCGTTCTTCCCCCTTCAAAAAACACCGCCTTTTCTCTTTTGTACTCCCCACTTTCTTTGTTTGCATTTTCTTCCTTCACCACTTTTCATTTTTCTTTTATCCTTACACTTCAAAAGCGGCAATAAAATATATGAAATTACATAAAAGAGAAAAGAGATTGGGAGATGTAATCAGATCACAATTGTGGGGCGCCAATTCTTACCATTTTACATGTCGTACTTTAATTAGTTATGCATTTTAACCGACTATGTTGTTTTAACGTGTTTTAATGGATTACATTGACATTTAATATTACATGTGCTTTATATTAGGTATGACGTATTTTAATGTTAGTTGTTATGTACAGTATTTTAATATGCTGAAGTGTATTCATATATTAAGTGTTAATATGTTTTAATCTGTGGTTTTGCTGATTATATACCAGTAAGTTGTATTATTATTACCTATTATGAGTTTTGTCTCACTGTATATGTGTTTTACGATGTTATGTGTTAAAGTGTTAATATGTTATGTGTTTGAAATGACTGTATCTGCTGTACTTGAATATGTTTTAACTCATTCTATGTTGCATTTTCTTGCTACGTTATAAGGTTTTTAGGTTATGTGTTATGTAATTTAATGCTGCTATGAATCACATTTTAAATGTTAAAGCGTGTTCATATGTTAAGTGCTAAGATGTCTTAATTTCTGTTTTAACTGATATAAATTTTATTTTAATCTCTTATATGTTGTATTTTAATCTATTATGTATTTTAACATGCTGTATACCTGTTTTACTATGTGTTATGTATTTTACTATTTAAAGTGTTAATATTTTGTGTTTTAACAGAATGGGTGTATATATATATATATAATACAATAATATATATTATACCTTAAGTATTATAGTATTGCATTTTATCACACTGTATGTTGTATTTTAATCTAGCATGCATTTTGACTTGTATACCTGTTTGACTATGTGTTATGTATTTTAATATTTAAAATGTTTGCATGTTAGGTGTTTTAACCGTGGCCACATACATACATACATACATATTTTCACTTTTATTAGGTTTCACTTTTATTTATTAGGTATAAGGGGTGTGTGTGTGTGTGTATATATATGGTAGTATATTTTTAATATATATATTGTAGTATAATACACTATATATTGTATTCATTCTGTTATTACTATTAATCCTACATTATATATATATATATACACACACACACACATTACACTAAAAATTATAATATATATATATATATATATTTGAAGGAAATATTATAACACATTATATATATATACACACATACACACACATTACACTAAAAATTATAACATATATATATTTGAAGGAAATATTATAATGCATTATATATATACACACACATATTACACTAAAAATTATATATATATATATATATTTGAAGGAAATATTATAATACATTATATATATACACACACACACATATTACACTAAAATTATATAATATATATTTTGAAGGAAATATTATAATACATTATACATATATATATTAACTAAATATTATAATATATATATATTTGAAGGAAATATTATAATACATTATATATATACACACATTACACTAAATATTATATAATATATATATATTTGAAGGAAATATTATAATACATTTATATATATATATTACACTAAATATAATATATATATTTTTGAAGAAAATATTATAATACATTATATATATACACACACACACATTACACTAAATTTATATAATATATATATATATATATTTGAAGGAAATATTATAATACATTATATATATATTACACTAAATATAATATATATATTTTTGAAGAAAATATTATAATACATTATCTATATATATAATATAATATATATATATATATTAAAAATATTATATTACATTTATATATATTGAAGGAAATATAATACATTATATATATATATATTACACTAAAATTTTATATATATATATATATTGAAGGAATATAATACATACATTATATATATATAATAAACACTAAATATTACTATAATATATATATACAGAGAATCAACATTCAAATGCAGATATAGCAAGATCTGCAAAATCACTGAATTATAAGTGATGAGTGTATACCTATTATATATTTATCTAGTATATATTTTATATAATAATATATAGATGAATCATATAAATGAGTAATGTAAGTGATGAGTGTTTATTATGTATTTATTATATATTTCTATATAATAATACAAATAATAACATTGTAATATAATAATACTAATATATAAAATTAATAATGTGATATAATACATTATATATTATATATACTTCAACTTATGATATGGTACAATGTATTATATAATACTAATATACACACACCCACATACATACATACACACACATACATATATAATCATGTGTTAGATAATATGTACAAGCCAGTACGATAATAAGAGTTGGACAGTCTTAACTAAGAGTAGGCCTCACCCCTCCTCCTCCTCCTCCGGCTCCTCCGGGCCCGTGCTCGGCGTTGTCGGTCTTGAGGCGCTTGGGGGCGCGGCCTCCCTCGGGCCCTCCTCCTCCTCCGTAGTACCGGCCCGACCCGCCGCCTCCCCCTCCTCCTCCGGGCATCTTCACCATGTCTCCCCCGCGCCCAGAACCGCCGCCGCCGCCCTCACCGCTCTGCGAGCCGCGCCACCTCCGCCGCGACATGGCGCCCACACTACCTCAGCCCACCCTCACGCCCGCCTTCAGCACGCCCCGATTGGCTCTCCCAACCGCCACTCACCCGCCCCGTCACGCTTATTGGCCCGACGCCGTTCTATACCTAACATCGTCCCGCCCTCCGACACCATTGGCTCGGGGCGTCTCCCGCCTTCGCGTCCATTCGCCTCAGCGACTGCTTGTCAAACCATTCCCCGCTTCTCATTGGCCTCCCTCCGCACCTCTTCGAAATCATTGGTCGAGCCGAACGTCGCTCTAACTCCGCGTCCCGCCCCACCGCATTGCCTCTCCTGCAGCTCCCCCTTTCTTCTCCAGAAAACCGTTGGTTTGCCTAAAACGCTGCAGTTCCTTTCTGCTCTCTTATTGGCTGCCACAAATGCCCATCATTAAAATTCGGAACCTCATTGGTTCGCGTCTCAACGAACCCCTTTTGGTCTTAGGGAGGGAAGAAGGGAAGGGCGGCTTTGTCTCCTCGCCTGAATCCTATTGGCGGGATGTGCTGCCTGTCACTCTGACCGCTGAATCCCATTGGACACAGCATCCTTGGCCTTTATTTTGATTGGTCAAGGCGACAGCATTCGCCCCTTTCTGTTCTGTTTGCAGCAATGGGCCTTCAGGACTTTGAAACAGAAGGAAATTGTTCCCATTGTCATTCAAAAGGGAAAAAGCTCCCGCCCACAGCCAATCTACGTCAATTAAGAGAAGTGGATTGGCTGTTGCTAGGTGAAGTGGCCCTCAATGATGTGCCTAGGAAACAAAGGGACTGTATCACTTGGTGAAGTGGCCCTGTGTCACGTGACTGGTGAAAGAAAGGGAAAGAAACAGATTGACTGTTTGTAGTGATAGGTGAAAGGAATGCCTTTCAACATCACAGTGATCCAAATATACGCCCCAACCACAGCTGCTGAAGAAGCAGAAGTAGATCAGTTCTATGAGGATCTGCAGGACCTACTGGATAATACACCAAAAAGAGACATTATTTTCATTACAGGAGACTGGAATGCCAAGGTGGGAAGTCAAAAGACAACTGGGATCACAGGCAAGCATGGTCTGGGAGAACAAAATGAAGCGGGACGCAGGCTGATAGAATTTTGCCAGGAAAACTCGCTGTGTATAACGAATACTCTCTTCCAACAACCTAAAAGACGGCTCTATACATGGACCTCACCAGATGGTCAACACCGAAATCAGATTGACTACATCCTTTGCAGCCAAAGGTGGCGGACATCCATCCAGTCGGTGAAAACAAGACCTGGGGCTGACTGTAGCTCAGATCACGAACTTCTTATTGCACAATTTAGAATAAAACTAAAGAGATCAGGGAAAACACACAGACCAGTTAGATATGATCTCACTAACATTCCTAGCGAATATACAGTGGAAGTGAAGAACAGATTTGAAGGACTAGATTTAGTAAACAGAGTCCCAGAAGAACTATGGACAGAAGTCCGCAACATTGTTCAGGAGGCGGCAACAAAGTACGTCCCAAAGAAAAAGAAAACCAAGAAGGCAAAATGGTTGTCTGCTGAGACACTGGAAGTAGCCCAAGAAAGGAGGAAAGCAAAAGGAAACAGTGATAAGGGGAGATATGCCCAGTTAAATGCGCAATTTCAGAGGTTAGCCAGAAGAGATAAGGAACTATTTTTAAATAAGCAATGCATGGAAGTGGAAGAAGATAACAGAATAGGAAGGACAAGAGACCTCTTCCAGAAAATTAGAAACATTGGAGGTAAATTTCAGGCAAAAATTGGTATGATAAGAAACAAAGATGGCAGGGACCTAACAGAACCTGAAGAGATCAAGAGAAGGTGGCGAGACTATACAGAAGATCTGTATAGGAAGGATAATAATATTGAGGATAGTTTTGACGGTGTGGTGAATGAATTAGAACCAGACATCCTGAGGTGAGGTTGAATGGGCCTTAAGAAGCATTGCTAACAACAAGGCAGCAGGAGACGACGGGATCCCAGCTGAACTGTTTAAAATCTTAAAAGATGAGGCTGCCAAGGTGATGCATGCCATATGCCAGCAAATATGGAAAACACAAGAATGGCCATCAGACTGGAAAAAATCCACTTATATCCCCATACCAAAAAAGGGAAATGCGAAAGACTGCTCGTACAGTGGCCCTTATTTCTCATGCCAGTAAGGGAATGCTCAAGATCCTGCAAGGAAGACTCCAGCAATACATGGAGAGAGAGTTGCCAGATTATTATTATTATTATTATTATTATTATTATTACTTTATTTGTACCCCGCTAGCATCTCCCAAGGGATTCGATGCGGCTTACAACAGGCCGGAGCCCAACACAATACAACAATACAATACATAGCAAATAAAACAGTTAAAGCAGAAAACAATAACAAAGCAGTACAACAGGACATTATTAAAAACTGAGCCGGCCGGAGTAGGGTACAGGATTAAAAAGTGCTGAAGTGTCGGAGGGATATGGGATTAAAATATAAGTGCAGTGTGCGGTGAGGGTGATCTTGACTCTACTAAAGTGCTTCTGGGCTTTGGTAGTGGGGTTCCTAATCTGAGAAGGCACGTTGGAACAGCCAGGTTTTCAGGTTCTTTCTGAAAACCGCCAAAGTAGGGGCCTGTCTGAGATCTTTCGGGAGGGCATTCCAGAGGCGGGGGGCCACCACAGAGAAGGCCCTGTCCCGCGTCCCCACCAAACGCGCCTGCGACGTGGGCGGGATCACGAGCAGGGCCTCTCCTGATGACCGGAGTGAACGTGTGGGTTCGTAGATTGTGATGTGGTCACGCAGGTAGGGTGGTCCCAGATGTTTAAGCTGGGTTTAGAAAAGGCAGAGGAACGAGAGACCAGATTGCCAATATCCGCTGGATAATGGAGAAAGGCAGGGAGTTTCAGAAAAACATCTATTTCTGCTTCATTGACTACTCTAAAGCCTTTGACTGTGTGGATCATAATAAACTGTGGCAAGTTCTTGGTGGGATGGGCATCCCAAGCCCCCTTGTCTCTCTCCTGAGGAATCTGTACAAGGACCAAGTGGCAACAGTAAGAACTGACCACGGAACAACAGACTGGTTCAAGATTGGGAAAGGCGTACGGCAAGGCTGCATCCTCTCACCCAACCTTTTTAACTTGTATGCAGAACACATCATGCGAGGATGTGCGGGGCTTGATGAATGCAAAGCTGGGGTGAAAATGCTGGAAGAAACATTAACAACCTCAGATATGCAGATGACACCACTCTGATGGCCGAAAGCGAGGAGGAGCTGAGGAGCCTTCTAATCAAGGTGGAAGAAGAAAGCGCAAAAGCTGGGTTGCAGCTAAACATAAAAAAAAAACAAGATTATGGCAACAAGAATGATTGACAACTGGGAAATAGAGGGAGAAAACGTGGAGGCCGTGACAGACTTTGTATTTCTAGGTGCAAAGATGACTGCAGATGCAGACTGTGGCCAGGAAATCAGAAGACGCTTACTTCTTGGGAGGAGAGCAATGTCCAGTCTCGATAAAATAGTAAAGAGTAGAGACATCAGACTGGCAACAAAGATCCGCCTAGTCAAAGCCATGGTATTCCCTGTAGTAACCTACGGATGTGAGAGCTGGACCTTAGGGAAGGCTGAGCGAAGGAAGATCGATGCTTTTGAGCTGTGGTGATGGAGGAAAGTGCTGAGAGTGCCTTGGACTGCGAGAAGATCCAACCAGTCCATCCTCCAGGAAATAAAGCCCGACTGCTCACTGGAGGGAAGGATACTAGAGACAAAGTTGAAGTACTTTGGCCACATCATGAGGAGACAGGAAAGCCTAGAGAAGACAATTATGCTGGGGAAAGTGGAAGCAAAAGGAAGAGGGGCCGACCAAGGGCAAGATGGATGGATGGCATCCTTGAAGTGACTGGACTGACCTTGAAGGAGCTGGGGGTGGTGACGGCCGACAGGGAGCTCTGGCGTGGGCTGGTCCATGAGGTCACGAAGAGTCGGAGACGACTGAACGAATGAACAACAACATTGATAGGTGAAGTGGCCCTGTGCCATGTGACTGAGAGAAAAAAGGGAAGGAAGCAGACTGACATGCTAGGTGAAGTGGCCCTGTGCCATGTGACTGAGAAAGAAAGGAAAGGAAGCAGATTTGAAGTGCTAGGTGAAGTGGCCCTGTGGCATGTGACCGAGAAATAAAGAGAAGGAATCAGATTGAGATGCAAAAAAAAAAGCTTGAGCTACATTCAGGTGCACAAGAGGCCGAGACAGTTTGACTCACACAAGATAACAATGTATTCATAACTACATTGTAAATTATACTCGAGTCAAGATTATTTATCATTTAATTCTATTATTATTATTATTATTATTATTCTCTATTATTATTACATTTATTATTTTACTCTATTATTACTGTTATTATTACATTTCTATTACTTATGTATCCGGTGGCACAATGGGTTAAACCCTTGTGTTGGCAGGACTGCTGACCAAAAGGTTGGCAGGACTGCTGACCGAAAGGTTGGCAGTTCAAATCCGGGGAGCCAGGTGAGCTACTGTCTGTCAGTTCCAGCTTCCTATGTGAGGACATGAGAGAAGCCTCCCACAGGTTGGTAAAACATCCGGGTGTCCTCTGGGCAACATCCTTGCAGACAGCCAATTCTCTCACACCAAAAGCAACTTGCAGTTTCTCAAGTAGCTCCTGACACGAAAAAGCTATTGCTTAGAAATGCTCATTGTTGACTTTACAGTTTTACGATTTGTCCCATCAGAAAGTCATACCTTTCCCATCGAAACATGAACAGGATTGTCGTTTTGAGCCTGCCCCAAAACAAGTTTGAGTGCCTTTCCACATTTGTTTGTCTCTAGATCAACGTAAGCATTTGCTGCCATAATTCATAGGATGTGTGGGAGGGAAACGGATCGTGGAGGCATTCTTAACTTGTGTGTTTGCAAGCACTTGGATTGTGGAAACGTCTCCAAACCTCACAAAACGGGATTGGAGTGTGTAAAGCTGTGGGTTTTAGCAGCTGTCTCTGTGTCCTGTCCCTGGTTCA